GCAGCGCCGGCCCAGATGGACGAGAGTGGGAGTGAGATGACGACCAGGGTCACCACGTTGGAGGTCAGTTCTGGCACAATGATGTAGTACTGGATGATGGAGAAGATGGCCGGGACAACCATAGTCTGGCAGCCCATGACGAAGATAACTTTCATCGGGCCGAATTCACGCACCCCGAGTCGGCGGCGCTGCTTGATGGCGAATCCAAGTTTGGTGACAAAGATGACACAGAAGAAGCAGATGCTGACGGTGACGCTGATGTTGGTTGCGCTTTCTATCCACCATATCCCAGACATGTAGTTAAGTGTCATGATGGCATTGCAATTCACAATCATCCATGCACTACGAAATCCGATTGGCACTAGGGCGACCAGGATAGATAACACCAGTAAAGGGTGCCTGTATCGACGACGTAGTGTAGAACAAACCACGTGGACTTGAATCACAAGCGAAACTTCAATACAGATGATGACCAGGGTAGTGAGAACGACAGCCACGATGGAAACGGCGTATGCGGTCCACGGCACGGATGAATAGTCCCCCGAGACATATGGGTATACCTGTTCGAATGGGGTGGAAAAATGGATAAGTTGAAAAAGCAGACGGCTGCTGTTGAAGAACAAGGCCAAGCCATTCATGATAAACACGGCCGAACGGCGCTTGTCGGATTGAGTCATGAGCAGAAGAATGATCAGCAATGTGAACGACGCCCCAAACTGGCAACCGTAATTGATGCACACCCGGACGTTATACATAACAAAAACGTCCAGTGCTTTTACGGAGACATCGAACGGAGCGCCATTGCGATGACGGAAGGTGACGTTCTGGGTGAAAGGATCGAATGGAAGACTTGGAGATGTCGCCATGGCTTCGAAATTTGAAGATCGAAGGGATTGAAAGACAGGGATAGCTTCTAAGATCAAATCATTCTATATGGCAAGGATGTGATTTGAAAGCCCTTGGGCTTGTAGATAGACAATGTAGTATCCAGAGAATCAGGGTGAATAGCCAAGGTTATAGAAGCCGAGACAGACAATGGCGAAGGCAGATAATAATATCCAGATCATTTTGAGGCCTTGGAAAGAACAATCCTAAGGAAATGGGAAGAACAATATCAAATGAGACAAAGAAGTAGCCATTAAGCCGGGTGATGATGGCTGCATGAGATCGTCAGAATAGTCAGAATAGCCTTTGATCCTGTGAATATCACTGGCGTGTGAACTTTGAAGCTTGATTTTCTTTGATTTCGGGTTTCCAGGATAGAAGCCCCGAGCATTTAAAGCCATTCGAGGATTTTTCAGGATGTGTCTTGAGAGAGTCCCAGATCAAATAAGACGGTCTCCCGTTCAAGACCAATTTGGCCCATCATTTAGCGAATGTGTCTCACGACTCGAGATTTCCTGTCTTCAACTTTCAAGCTGATTTGAATGTTGTTCATCCAAGGATTAACAAAGTACCTATGTTGTAGGTAGACCTCAGGATGGTGAGGTGGAAGGTAAAGGGAAAAGGGTGACATAACACGGGACATCCACTACCTAATACTTCCTGTATACTTCCTCTATACTACACCTATCTACTATACCTATATACCCTGGTCATGGATAGCTATAGCTCCTATAGTTCTACTCTTAAGGTCCAAATATCAAAATATATTTTCATCCCTTCATCAATATTTTGCAAGGTACTTCGCCAAGAAATCGGCGGGGAAAGGAAACCTCGCGCTCACCTTTTGCATATATTCTCCTTACTATGGCGCTTCCTCAGAGGACATTGAATTGGCTATGGAGTGTCTTGTCCAAGGTTGGTCTCTCATAAATCATCCAGATCGATATAACTAAAATCTCCCAAGGATCACTATGATCCACAACAGACCTATCGCGATCCAAACCGGACTTACCACGATGTTGCCAATGCGCTCTCTCAGTACCCCTCGCTCTCCCCTCGAACAGATGTCTATAGTGAGTGCCCCTAGGTGTACTTGATGTTCTTGTTTCTGACATAAACAGCCTACGAGACAGGCTTCTCGGCCCTTCTCCTTCACCTTGTGGGCACGTTGCCGGTCACCTTCCGAGGAACGACTTACCGATTTCCCATTGCACTTTGGATTCCAAATACATACCCACGCGAGCCTCCAATTGCCTACGTGACTCCGACACAGGAAATGACTGTCCGGGTTGGGCAACATGTGACGCTGGAGGGACAGGTGTACCATCACTATCTGGCTCACTGGGCTGAAGCATGGGATGTAAGTGCTCGCAATCACATGGGTGAATGAGCCACTGACCGTTTTCTATTCACAGAGATCCACCATCGCCGATTTTCTTTCGATTCTTCAGGATGTATTTGCCAAGGAGCCTCCTGTCAAATATAGACAAGTACCACAGCCTCCACTGGAAGCTGCCCAAACACCCCCGCCGTTACCTCCCCTTCCACCCGGTGTCGGATCTCCGAGACAAGCTCAACCTCTGTCGCCGCTTGCAAGTCAGAGCCAGATTCCACCGCCACCTCCACCGAAGCCAGGCACAGCTAGCGATAATCGTCAGCAACCACAACGGCACCCGGCCGATCAATATCGATCTCCCCCACCGCTACCTCCACTCCCACCAAAAGAGCAAGGCTCTCGTCAAGCATCTTTATCCACACAATTGGCCAGCCCTGGGACCCACTCATATCAACAGTATGCGCCACCAGGCCAAACTGGAGGACCGTTAAGCAGCCCTCATCCCTTGTCACAGCCACCAGTCCATCCGCCAGTGGGGCAGCCAATGCCGCCCCAGTCGACGCAGGGTCAAGCACCGTATTACAGAAACGGCGGGGCGCCCATTCATCACGGCCCTAGGTCTAGTACATCAACCCAAGTCCCACCTCAAGTTCACCCAGCCGGGGCTCACTTGCCTCTGCAGCCGCAACTCCCCCATCAACCGCACCAGCAACCGTCTGGTCCCCCGTATCCTCAGCATTCTCCATACCCATCCAGTCATCCCCACCCACCCCCAGCAGCTCCACCAAAGGCTGACACACCCGACCTTCTAACCTCACCATTTGAAGTCGAGCTACCCTCAATCGCACCCACAGGACCAGCGCCTCCCATCCCACCAAACCCAGAGAAAGATGCACTTCTTCATGCCGTTTCCCGGACCCTGGCAGAAACCCTCCGCGCTAATGCTGCACAGTCTGATACGGCAGCTCAGTCACTCGTCTCACAGTCACGGTCCCTGCATGCCGCTATGGCCACGCTGCAGGGGGAGGTCTCGACGCTCAACGCTCTCCACGCGACTCTGCAGTCCAACACTACTGTCCTACAGCAATCCATCCATCGCGCCGATGCCACTATCGCAGACGCACAGGCTCGCTCTACATCCATCTCCACATCTAGCGCCCACGGAGACACTCCTTCCGGCCTGCCTCCAATCGATGAGGTCCTGGTCGCCCCCACCGTGGTAGGGAAACAGCTATACGATCTGGTCGCCGAGGAGCAAGGCATACAACAAGCTCTTTATGCGTTGCAGTCTGCGTTGGTCCGCGGTGTCATTGGTGTCGATTCCTGGTCGCGGCATACACGAAGTCTTGCACGTGAAGCTCTGCTCAAACGGGCATTGATTCGTAAGATCGGACGTGGAATGGGGTTAGATGAGAACGTAGCCTGAATTATCGGGCTGGGCATCGCTGACATTTCTGGTTATATATACCCTTTCTTTTTTTTCCCCCGTGTTATGAAATAGCTAGATGATTTGAAGATCTCTCTTCTTGTCTATTGACGAATCGCGATTCTGTCTCTTTCTATTTCTGGCAACATCTACAGAGTTGTTTGGTGGCAAAGCAGTCCCACTTTCCTTCCAGTGATGTCTCCAGGGATTGTTTCACTCTCGCCCATGCCAACCGATGCAAGAGCCGATCTACCTCTTATACTCCGTATAGACTAGACAGCCCTAGATGTACGGCCTCCAATACAAGCCAAGCCGCCGGATACAAGCCAGATGAATGCACTCGAATGTCTGGATTGGCTTATTTACTCTTCGCACTACATGTAGTGTCCACCAATACCTAGTTCTCAGCATATGTCACTTTCAGCCTTTGCGCCATGACATCCGAAATTGAGGGTGAATGAGCCAGAAGATATCTTCCAAGACTATTTTGCCAGCGAATACTCACTGTAAGCCTAAAATGGAAGGATTTGCCTTTCTTTGAATGAGAGAAACAGGTTAGGAGTCTATGTACATGGGGGGTCTCCGGCAATCTTGCTCTTATAGCTCCCTCTAACCTGCTGTTGTCCAAGTCATGTTCGGGGACCATGTATATAGTACATAGTAACATAGATAGTCTTGATATCATATGCCGACCAACCTAGGTAGACCAGCATGAATGAACAAAACCAAAGGTTCTCCTTCTCATGTACTACACATATATATATATATATATAAGGTGGTTACAGTTTTTTGTTTTGTTTTTCTTTGATCATCGTGCATATATATAATCGTAGATGAAAAGATATATAACAAGGTCGAATACCAAAATAAAAACATATAGGCAGATGGAGAAGTTAGTTGTCAAGCAATGAGCGTGCATTCGTCTAATAGAAGTCTTGATCTATTTGGATGGCAAGTTAAAAAGATTCCCTATCTTCGACTTGGTATGAAGGGAACATAAAAGGAGGCTGATGTCGTTTTTACCTGTTTCAGCTCCTAGCAAATTGCAATATACCGGTACGTCGATATGAAAATTCCGAAAAAGGCCCATCGAATAACATGACACCAGATTCCCATGGCAGTACGAATAAGAAGATGAAGGTATGTATGATATCCAAGATAACAGTCAATGAGAGTATAGATTCAGTCGACAGCCCAATCCCAGTGTGCCAACACTCGCTGTACGGGGCAACCGAGAAAAGGGTTCAAACATATCAAAAGGCACAAAAAGTTATGATAGGTTTCATACATACAAAGAAAACAAACTTGAGAATCACAAAAATAGAAAACCGTTGCGCCCAGTCCTAGACCTGCTCATTTCACCTCATTTGCGTCCGAGAATGGACTTTCTACCCGGACGGGGGGCGTCGGATTGCGTCCATCACTCAAGCCGGAAGCCCGACGTGAATCGCTTTGGCGATGCGAGGAACCGGTTTCCAGGTTGGCGGTGGATGATGGACGAGTGTCATCTTCGCCCGATGAGGACTCGTCAGATGTGTCAATATTTTGGTTCGGGTGATCGCTATTGGTAGCTGAGACCGCCCGACGTGTGTTGCTTTTACTCTTCTCAGGCAGCTCTTCGACCCGGTCGGCACCAGGTGCGTTGTTGGGTTGCTTCTTCTTGACCGAAGGACCACGCACCATTACCGGCTTTGCCGTTACACTGCGAGCCACACAGGAACTATTGCCCTTGACAGCCTCCGCCCGAGCGAGTTGCGCCGGGGTAATAGCCGGGACCGCCGGTGCGTCCGCCGGAGTAATCGTGACAGCAACAGGCGAGTCGTCTCCAGGGGAATTGGACCCAGCTCCTCCGTTGTGAATGCTCACCACGGCGGCACGAGTCCGCTGGATCTGCTGCGCAGGCATGGCACTGACGATGGCATCGTTACGGTAGATGGTGGTAGCCACGCTGCTGCGCAAAGTGGGGGAGATGCTCTGGTGGCCGGTGGTAGTTGTCCATGACGAGTCACGCAGGTCACCCGGCATAAAGAAGTGTTGATCGGGTGTCGCACCGGGAAGCGGTGGAACTGGTGGCATGAGGGAAGATGGGGTCTGCGGCGGGGAACGGTTGGTGACACCAGGAATGTAGGCGATTTGGATGACATTGGAGGCACGGGTTAGGACTGTAGAAGCGATGGACTGGCGTTCACTGCGAGCCGCGCCGAATGAACCGTTCTTCTCCGCCTCCTGGCGCTCCAGGCGCTTCTTGCGGATGACGAACCACCAGATCAAGAACACAATGAGGGCGATGGCAGCCACACCACCGATGACTCCACCGGCAATAGCGCCAGTGTCGGAGCTCCCCGAGCTCGAGGACGGGGAGCCGGTTGAAACGCACTTTGTGGTCGCACATTCATCACAGCTCGGGGCGGTCATTGTACATATTGATCCATCGGGACATGAGGGACAAGCGGGAGATGAGGTTTCACATTGCTTGCAGCGCTTGAAGAGGGAGCGGGCCGGCGAGAAGGCGGAATCGATGGGTTCGAGAAGCATGATGGGCTGTGATAGGTGAGGGAAATTGAGACGATGATAATAGCAACAAAAAAGACCGAATAATCTCGATCGAGCCGATCAACGGCAAGGAATGTGCAAGATAAAAGATGGAAAAAGGAGTGTAGGATGCTCAATCGGCGTCAAGTCGTGAGCGTAAGTAGATCATCAAAGCCGAGTGGGCGTAGAAAAACGAGTGTCGTGTGAGAGATCAAGATCGAGATGTGAGGGTTAAGTGCTGATCATGGTCCTTGGAATGGTCCAGACACTTTGACAGAGATTGTATACGTCAAAGACAGTGGAGATAGGGGGGGAGGGGGGAAGTTCTCGATTTGTTGACGTTGGCCGCGCGTATGAGAGGAAAACTCAGCAACTCATCAACCAGCGAACGATCAATGTGGGAGAGAATAAATTGAGGGAAAAAAAGAAGATGGAGGGAGAGGAGAGAGAAGAGAGAGAAGAGGCTTGTAGTATGTCCAAGTCGAGAGGATAATTGGGTCACGGGCCTGTATCCACGGGTGAGATACGGGGTAGTCAGGTACAGACTTGTCTTTCCATATATCTCCGATCTTTCATATATATTCCTAGGATAGCAGAATCCCAGATCAGAAAGTATATAGAATCGCACGTCGAGAGATCCCTTCAAAAGATATCAGATTGTTTCATCCCATTCTTACATCCTTACTTGGAGAGGGAATTAAGTGGACATCCTATAGGTCTGGACTCTCCCGAGGTCGGATCATCAATCTTCCAAGATTGCGTGGGACGGTGGTTCGGGTCATCTTTGTTTTGTTTGCTTCGTTTGTCCAATTTAGCTAGTTTGCTCTGTTTATGTTCAATTCCCCAACCAGGTTAGCGGCTCATTAATCTCGAACATCGTTTCCAGTGCTGGAGGAAGTTGGAGTCACTGAAATCTTATTAGATTAGGTCGGGGAAGTCACCCCAAGGAGATTTTTACAGGCTCTCTCTTTTTTTCTTTTTTCTAGTTAGAAAAAAAGTATTTGAATACTGCAGTCATTAGCCACCATATATGGACGATGGTGCTAAGCAATTTCCAGTCTAATAATAATGCGGCGTATGGAGTAAAAAAGATAATAATAGACTGGGAAATGTCTGAGATTATCACAGACGGGTCAGATTGTGATCCTGTTCTATGGGTCTCTAATAGATGTCCCAAGTGCTTTGGATCATTAGAAATATGGAATAGAGGTCAAGATGGGAGTCAGCCTGTTCAGGGTGGGAATGGGCTCTATATATCCGAATTGAACTTCTCTACGGAGTACAGCTGTTTCATCGGTGGAGCCAGTTGATTAGGTTCGGGTGTTAGTCTACCAAAAATAACAAGAAATGGTCAAAGGAAATAAATCACAAGAAATTCCGGATTAAGGATTGTTCTTTATAGGGATGGAGTATGTGTAGTATTTACATTGGATATTGTTTACTGTTTACTATCGACTATTTACTATTTCCTATTTACACACACTCCAAAATACATCTGAATACATATACTCCGTACATTTAAACATATTCAAATAAAAGAAATAGAAACATCTTAAAATTTAAAATAAAAAAATAAAGGACAGGGGAAGGACGGGGCTAAAGATTAACCCCATCTCCCCCCTTCTCTTCCTTTTTCTCCTTGACCCTTGACTCCAACCCATAATTTGCAAAGATTCTAAAACATCCCTTCCCAGCCCCGGTGGCTTTGATTATTGTTCATACATGTGCCCTGCTTAAACAGATACCCCTCTTGAAACTCCCTTTCTGATTTTCGAACCTTGGCCACATCATGGCCTACCACGGCTCTGGCTCGCACTCACCGAATTACGATGATCATCATCTGCAGGATGTGCCAGCTTCGCAGGTATGTATTCAAAGAGCGAGCCAGTCGCGCGAGCTGACGTTTGTTGCTAGTATCGTGAGGATGAGGATGCAGCTCGTGGATTATTGTCCCAACAAGGTCCTTTTGCGACACCCTTTGATGATCCACACTCGCGCGGTGTTTCTCCCCAACGTCCGGCTTCCAAGTACAGCTTGACGGAGACCTATGCAGCGGATACCGCCCCTTCTTACCACGATCCATACAGCACCGGCACCGTCTACTCTGGCCAGGAGGAAAGTACTGCAGCAGCCTTCGGGGTTCCTGGCCGAGTTGCATCGCCCTATGCCCGTAGTGAGACCTCGTCCACCGAGGCGTGGCGCCAGCGACAGGCCCCCGGGGGTGCCCCTGGTGGTGGCGGTGGTGGCTTGCGCAGATATGCTACCAGGAAGGTCAAGCTGGTGCAGGGTTCCGTCCTCAGTGTCGATTACCCCGTGCCTAGTGCCATCCAGAATGCTATCCAAGCTAAATACCGCAACGACGTGGAAGGTGGAAGTGAGGAGTTTACCCACATGAGATGTAAGTGGACCATGACGAGGGAACACACTTCAAAAGAGAGAGAGAGAGAGAGAGAGAGAAAAGAAAACAGAACTAATGAGCCTTGACAGACACCGCCGCCACTTGTGACCCGAATGAATTCACCCTCCACAATGGCTACAACCTGCGCCCCGCCATGTACAACCGTCACACGGAGCTGCTCATCGCGATTACCTACTACAACGAGGACAAGAATCTCACGGCCCGTACCTTGCACGGTGTGATGCAGAACATTCGCGACATTGTCAACCTGAAGAAATCCGAATTCTGGAACAAGGGTGGACCCGCATGGCAGAAGATTGTGGTGGCGCTGGTCTTTGACGGTATTGATCCTTGCGACAAGGATACTCTGGACGTCCTTGCGACTGTCGGTATCTACCAGGATGGCGTCATGAAGCGTGATGTTGACGGCAAAGAGACTCTGGCACATATTGTAAGTCGTCCTGGATGGGACATCAGGGCCTAAGCTGACAGAACCAGTTCGAATATACGACCCAGCTCTCCGTAACACCCAGCCAACAGCTCATCCGACCTACGGACGATGGCCCCAGTACACTGCCACCCGTACAAATGATGTTCTGTTTGAAACAAAAGAACAGCAAGAAGATCAATTCGCATCGTTGGCTCTTCAACGCTTTCGGCCGTATTTTGAACCCTGAAGTCTGCATCCTCCTCGACGCCGGTACAAAGCCTGGCCCCAAATCCTTACTGTACCTCTGGGAGGCATTCTACAACGATAAGGATCTCGGCGGTGCCTGCGGTGAAATCCATGCTATGTTGGGTAAGGGATGGCGGAACTTGATCAACCCTCTCGTGGCCGCTCAGAATTTCGAGTACAAGATCAGTAACATCTTGGATAAGCCTCTCGAGAGTTCTTTCGGCTACGTTAGTGTCTTGCCTGGTGCATTCTCAGCCTATCGATTCCGTGCAATCATGGGTCGTCCTCTTGAACAATATTTCCACGGTGATCACACGCTATCCAAGCAGCTTGGAAAGAAGGGTATTGAGGGGATGAACATTTTCAAGAAGAACATGTTCTTGGCCGAGGATCGAATTCTCTGTTTCGAGTTGGTGGCTAAAGCAGGCTCCAAGTGGCACTTGTCTTATGTCAAAGCCTCTAAGGGTGAAACTGACGTGCCTGAGGGTGCTGCTGAGTTTATCTCCCAACGTCGCCGCTGGCTCAACGGTTCTTTTGCAGCAGGAATTTACTCGCTGATGCACTTTGGCCGTATGTACAAGAGTGGTCATAACATTGTTCGCATGTTCTTCCTTCACATTCAGATGTTGTACAACATCTTCAACACCCTCCTCACCTGGTTCTCGCTGGCTTCGTATTGGCTGACCACCACTGTCATCATTGACCTGGTCGGTACACCAAGCCCCAGTAACAACAATTCAGCTTTCCCATTCGGTAAGACAGCCACGCCCATCATCAATACGATCGTGAAGTATGGATACCTCGCCTTCCTATTGCTGCAGTTCATTCTCGCTCTTGGCAACAGACCCAAGGGTTCCAAGTTCTCGTACCTCGCCTCGTTCGTGGTCTTTGGTCTCATTCAGGTCTACATTGTGGTTGATTCGATTTATCTGGTTGTTCGCGCATTCACCGGCGGCGCACCCATGGACTTTGTTACCGACAAAGGCTTGAAAGCCTTCCTCGACTCTTTCTTCGGGTCCACTGGCGCTGGTATCATTATCATTGCCTTGGCTGCCACATTCGGTCTTTACTTCGTTGCCTCCTTTATGTACGCTGACCCATGGCACATGTTCACTTCCTTCCCTGCCTACATGGTTGTTCAATCGTCCTACATCAACATTTTGAACGTCTATGCCTTCAGCAATTGGCACGATGTCTCTTGGGGCACAAAGGGTTCTGACAAGGCCGATGCACTGCCGTCAGCCACGACGACAAAGGACGAGGGTAGCAAGGAAGCAGTAATCGAAGAAATTGACAAGCCCCAAGCTGATATCGACAGCCAGTTCGAGGCAACTGTCAAGCGTGCGCTCACCCCATTCGTTGCCCCCGTGGAACACGACGAAAAGACTCTCGAGGACTCCTACAAGAGTTTCCGTACCCGCCTCGTCACTTTTTGGATCTTCAGTAATGCAATCCTGGCAGTCTGCATCACCAGCGAGTCCGTCGATAAGTTCGGCTTCACCGTGAGTGTCCCTCTCTTTCAATTCTGATTATTAGACGACTAACGTGATCATAGAATACTGCTACCAGTCGTACAGCTCATTTCTTCCAGGCTCTCTTGTGGTCCAACGCCGTCGTTGCATTGTTCCGTTTCATTGGATGCTGTTGGTTCCTGGGTCGCACTGGTATCAAGTGCTGCTTTGCGCGCCGGTAGTTCGATAGCCAGCACCAAATGTGTACCCTTTTTCATGATGCCCTGACACAATTTCCTATCTTTCTCCTTCCTAGTGATCTGTATTCTACCTAAAGATGCCCGCCTTTGTTCACTTGTTTCCCTTTTGCAATGCCAGCCAGTATGTACCTTGACGGTTACTGTGATCTTTTTTTTGTCGGACCATGCACCGGGATTACACTCGGGGTGCTATGATTATGTACTTCATATTCAATTTTTTTTCTCTTTCGACATCTTAATATTTGTAGATTGTAGACGCGTGGAGTTTCCGAGGTCAAATACGTCAACTGGAAGGCGGAGAGGCGATAAAGGGCGATTGCTGATCTGAGACCCCCCCCGCAAGTACCTGGGGCTAACTCTTCACTCTCACCTGTTGTTTGATCTTGCTCTTTTCCAGCTTTGCATGTTCTGTCTATCTTTCTCCCTCTGAACATCCCCAGAGCTAACCACCTTGCAACCCTCTCTTCCCTCCAAAAACCGTCCATTCCACCAGGTGGGGTGGTGACTCTCAGTCAAAATGTTGAAAATCTGGTCGATGGTAAGGCTTTATTTGGTTCTTATAGACATGTTGAACTACCACTGAAATTCGTACAGAAACAAAAGCAGCAGGAAGCCGAGAATGCCGAGGGTGCTGCAGGCAAGAAGAAGAAGAAGGTCACCGCGGCGCAATTACGCGTGCAACGAGGTGAGTGACCCCCCTATAACGGCTTCACTGCTTCTAGTTCATGGTTCATGGTTATATCTCTAACTTATTGTCTCATCAGACCTGCAAGAACTCACCCTCGGTAGCACGATGAAAATGTCTTTCCCGAACCCCGATGATATCCTTAACTTCACCCTGACCATCGAACCGGACGAAGGCATGTATAAGGGTGGTGTATTCAACTTCAGCTTTGCCGTCAACCAGAACTTTCCCCACGATCCTCCCAAGGTCAAATGCATGCAGAAGATCTACCATCCCAATATTGACTTAGAGGGCAACGTCTGTTTGAACATTCTACGAGAGGACTGGAAGCCCGTGTTGAATCTGAATGCTGTCATTGTGGGCATGCAGGTCGGTTGGTTTCTTTCTTTTGATTGCTTGTTACTTTTGTTGACTGGTATTCTACTGCAGTTCCTCTTCCTCGAGCCAAATGCTTCCGATCCCCTCAACAAGGACGCGGCGGAAGATCTTCGCGCCACTCGCGACACCTTCAAGAGGAACGTTCGCAACTCCATGGCCGGCGGGTCCGTCCGGGGAGTAACATTTGACCGGGTGCTACGGTGAATGTCTGGTTTTACATTTGCATTCTAAATCCAGCCTTCCCCCACGGAGTGCGACACGGGATGATGATCTATGGTTTTACACATGGCAGAGACATGCTTCGGCGATTCCAGGAAGGGTGCGCTGGTGTTTCCACGTACATATATCCGGCGTAATTAGCGTTTGAATACAATAGATCCAATTCGCTCATTTGGCTGGTCAGACGTAGGTTTCAAGCATCACCACGGTCCCCGTTTATCTGCATGGCACATTTCAGCCGGAGAAAGAGAGTCCAAAATCAAAACGGTTGGTTGTCCACAGGCGTATATGTACAAACGATCTCAACTCTAACCATCCACTCGTACACACCCGTCGATTCAACCAAGCCCGATGGATGATGTCAAAGGCATGTGATTTTCTAGATTACGCTCTGACAAAGAAAAGAATTGGCGCCGAACGGGCGGGAAGAAGACGATCGAGAGGTGATCAGTGTCGATCGATTTAACCCCGCTGGGCAGCACGTTCAGCCTCAAGGCGAGCGTAGTAGGTATCGCGCTCACGCACGCGGGGAAGGTGGTAGCCTGTAGGACAAACACATAGTTAGAATTCGAGTTGTCGCATGGGTTGGCGCAGCCGGGGATAATCTACTTACCGTACCACCAGAGGTAGCCGAAGGTAGTACCGAAACCTAGTGGATGAGATAACCTGATCAGCAACTATTTCAAGTTCTAGAAATCGTCTTGGGTGCTTGTATTTGAAGCAGTAGCCTTTCCGAGAGGTTGCGATATCCAACTCGTCATTTCGATCATGCCACTCGATCCGGATCACAACTTACCGAAAGCGGTGCTCAGGTCCAGGACAAGACCACGGCGGAGCATCTGTTGACAAGAGTAGGATGTCAGTCAATCATTCCAAAGATCTCAATTGACCAGATCAACCCGCTCGGGTTAACCCGGCCTTCAACGGAAGGGGCACGTACGCCGGTAATGGGGGGAATAGCGGCGGGCATTGTGACAGATAAGTTGTGTCAATCGATGCTTGAGCACAATCAATGTAGGTTATGGACAGCTTAAAACCTGCCTCGAACGTTGGTGTGGAGAGGAGATGGGGGGTAGAGGAAGAAGGCTGATTTGTGAGGTGAGGTTGAAGCTTCGGAGCGGACTAAGCGAGCCGCCGGATTGGTCGGTCTTACTATGAGAGCGAACTATGGCATGTTCACCATTTCCCTACTATTCCAAGGCTGCAGAGTCCAATTCCAGATTGATTTTCTTGTAGATTCCGATACACAGAATCACTTACCCAAATGAAATGAGTATTTCGCCCTTCAAGTACTACTACGGTGAAAATAAAGAGGAAGGGCCAGGAAGCCCTCGAGAGGGCGGACATAGTATATAATGAACGAAGCCTACTGGGCATCGTTTGCTCATCTCTACATTGAAAGTCCTATCTGAGCAAGTCATCTATTATTCAAAAGTATTTTGCTTCTTTATCCTCCCTCCACTCTGGTCCATGACAGCTACTCATCCATTCACCGCCTTTAGCACGTGACCCCAGATAACATTGCTTGGTCGGGACGACTAAGCACCTGGATCAGATCAATACTATGGCTATGGCGACATCAGACACCCATGTTAAACGAGCTTCCTCATCTCTTGAGCAGAAAAATCCGAAGCGGGTAAAGCGTCACTATCACCACCATCATCGCTTACAGGAGCCCGTCGTTCTCCCATCCTCGTCCGAGCCAGTCGTGCAGGATGACACCCAACTCGACCAATTGATGAATCGTGCAGTGGGCCAGACTTTGAAGGACTCTGGGTTTGAGCTGGCCGATCCAACTGCACTGTCAAGTCTCTGCAGTGCTACTGAGGAGTGTAAGTGTCTGGTATTGAATCCATTTTGAATCTTGAATTGACGGGTTGCGCCTGAAATATCTAGACATGTTACGACTTTCCACATTTATTCGTCAGTCCATGCTATCTGCGCGACGCGTCCAACCAATTCCACAAGACTTTGACCACGCTCTAAAGCGTCTCCGTCTCAATCCTGATGATCTTCTCCCTCATCTCAAACCAGCGTCAAACAAACCTACGCCGACACTATTACCATCTCCTCCTCCAGAGAACGAAATATCAAAATCTCTCCCATTTCTCACGGCACTGAGTAGTGAAGACGACCGTGCAAATCGTCCCTACATCCCAAAACATTTCCCGAGCTTCCCTAGCAAACACACTTACTCCGCCACCGCTGTCTTTATTGGACGAGACAACGACCCGCGCAAGATTAGAGAACGCGCGGCAGAGGATGGACGGCATGGCGAGGAAGCTTTGCGCAAATTAGCGAGTGCTGCATTCCGCGATAACCAGACGGGCTCGACTGGCCGCGACAAGAAACTCTGGGGTCGGAGAATGGACAGCATGGAAAGCATGTTTGAAAAGACGATCAAGGGAATATCCAAAAAGCAAAGCAAGGATACTACCAGCTCAGCCATGGAAATCAATCCGGGTGATGTCGACAAGTCCCGGCTCAAGCTCTCGTGGAATATGGAGCTGGGCCCTATTGTCAACTGTGAGCGAGACCTCTGGCGCCGGACCAGCTCGGATGTACGACGAGGAGAGGAGAAGATTTCAAAGCCTCCAGCAAATGTTGATCCAGCGGACGTCATGACTGACATGTAAATTACAAAGGCCGGCGTTTTTGTTTTCCCTTTATTTTCCCTTTATTTTCCCCAGATTATGGGCTGGCGCTTGTGTTTTAGTTCAGGAACATGACCTGAAGAGATACCCCAATGGCAGTCACTATCATTATTCAAATGCTTAGAGTGAAATTGAAAACTGCAAGTACGTGTAATCCTATATAGCCAACTCCACCCAATGCGCATTGCTGATGCAAAGTAGTCTTATTGTTTCAGGGTCTGCTTTTGTTTCGCCTCTTCTGCCAGCCTGATTGGCTCCCATGATGTGGTTTCAACCATTAATCCACCGGCACAGCTACGACATCAGCTTGCGATTTGACTCAAGCTCGATTCAAGACTCACCGTCGAAACAACCGCACCACAGGGTCGCATACCACAACTCCTGGATCAGGAACCCCATTTTGTGGAGGGTTACAAGAGAACTGAGTCATTTCAAGCAATGGGCACTCTGTGAGGTTGACTGGTTCGCCTTTGCGTCGTTTCTCTTGGAAATTGCGGCGGACGGTGTTGACATGATCGGGGAGGGAGTCGGCGGAGAAGATGGGGACAAGAGGTGCCATAGTAAATCTCAGTTGGAAATATGAGATGATTTCAATCGAGTGAGAATTGGTGGTTTCGTGTCGAAGGAAAAGAGTCGAGGTGCCTTTGACTGGGGAAGTTCGGAAGCTCCGTCAGCCGCGACCTCGAGTTTCCGCTCGCACTTCCACCACTTTTCTCGCACCCAGTCGCTGTACTCGACACGTCTCATTGAAAAATTTAACAATGCCACATGCGTGACGCAGGCTATTGTTTACCCATGACCCATGGCAGCCAATCTCGGGGCGAGATTGCTAGTCGATATACACCAAGAGGGATTAGATGAGGTATTGCAGCTTTCCTACTTAGACGCATTGGGTTGACCGGTTTTAGATACTCTCTACATTGGCCCATCTTAATCCTGGTGAACCAAGCCACAATGGACATTCATTAGGCGTGCCCAGTCTGGACGCTTTGCTCGAAGTATTTGCGCCAAAAGCACCTGCTGTGCTAGGCGCCGTGAAGGATGAACAGCCTCAATCCCCGAATGAGTCTTCAGAACAGAAGAAAGATGGGGAAATGCTGCTGCGCTCTGAAACCGCGGCACAAGACCAACCCCCCCAATGCGTCGTTCTCAGATCCAGAGGATAAAAAGAAACAACAGAAGCTCATCGTGGAGATTGCAAGCAGCTTGTCGGCTTCCGGGAAGTCACAACTACTGTACTATCTCACGGCTCTCGCTATCTTACCGCAGAAATGCGGAAACATCTCAGTCAGTGGTCGAGAGGCAGCTGTAGTGTTCATAGATACCGACAACCGATTCGATGCCGAAAGACTCAGAACTGTTGCTCGAGGTATACTGCAGCAGCGGGGACTATCTGCCAGACCTGGAGAAACCCCAAACTATCTTGAGACATTGCTTGTCTCTTCACTACAGCATGTCCATGTCTTTCGTCCGCAATCTTCATCCGCTCTTTTAGCCACAGTTCATACGCTAGACTCGTACCTTCTCGACCTCTCGCGACATCGTTCTGCGTCACGTCCCTTACAAATGATCGCCATCGACAGTGCCACCGCCTTCCTCTGGCAAGACCGGCTCCGTGACGAAGTTTCACGGACTGAAGAGATTGGGCGCCCTCAGACGGAAATCGATTCCGATCGCCAGCACAAGACCAGTTTTCATCTGTCCGACCTCTATGCCGAGGTAGCGAGAGAGCTGAAGGCCCTACAGAGTCAGTTTCAGTGTGCAATTGTGTATACCGCAACGGTCCCAGGGGCTCGAGCCTCTGGCCTTGGTCCATACGATCATTCGGAGGCTCGTGTTCCATCGCTGAGACCTGCTCTCCCTGCACCATGGGGCGTTTTTCCAACACTGCGTCTGATTGTTCACCGGTCTTCTGTACGCCCTTTTCCACCGAGCATGGCCGCTCAGGCAGCTGCCAAGGACGCCCCTTCTCGGCAGAGTGTGGTTCAGCAAGGCAAGATATCTGCATGGGTCAATCCATGGGGACGCGATGAATGGCCTCGTCGCATAGTGGAAGCAATCGAGGCGAACAACAGTGGGAGCTTTTCATTCTATATACGCGACTCTGGGGTCGAGATGACTGATCCACATCATTGATTCAACGATTCTATTCACGGTTCATGTAAACAACTTGGCAATTGCCTCGACGGTTGTGTTGCCACCGCTGAACACAACACCAACATCCCATCCATCCTTGCCACCCTCTTGTTCGACTCGTCGCCTAAAGTTTTCATTGAAAAGACACACGGCCAGTCCAACTACTGCGCTGGGCTCAACAACAACCTTCATACGCTCTATAACCAACCGCATGGTTGCCTTGATCTGCTCATCAGTGACTGCGAACACCCCTGACACATTGTTCTCATTGGAGATAACCTCCCAATTGAGCAGTCCCACGGGAGTGCGTAGACCATCTGCGATGGTGAGGGTGCCAACGGCTTCCACTCGCTTTCCAGCCTGCAGACCGCGTCGACAATCATCTGCACCCTCAAAGCTGGGCTCTGCACCGAACACATGTGTCTGCTTATTCGAGAACCACGTCGCCACGCCAGAATTGAGCCCACCTCCACCAACAGGAGTGATAACCGCATCCAGAGCTCGAGACCCAGCTTGTTCGGCATACTGTGCCTCCAGCTCCAAAGCTGTTGTACCTTGCCCACAAATGACATTGAAGTCATCATACGGTGGGACCAGAATGGCGTCCGTCTTTGCTTGTATCTCTGCCACCACCGTTTCGCGTTCGACACTGGTCGAGCCGCTGAAGACAACTTCCGCGCCGTGGGACTGGGTACCCGCAATCTTTGATGGAGTGCTGATGCGGGGCATTACGATGTAGGCGGGGATGCCCAGAGTCGAGGCAGCGAGAGCAAGAGCTTGTGCATGATTTCCTACGGAGAAGTAAGCAATGTATGGATGTCATAGAAGATCAGAAAATACCAGAGCTATGTGTAATGACCCCACGCCGTTTGACTTCCTCCCCGCGCTCCTCTAACAGTCGCAGCAAAGCGTGGAATGCACCCCGTGCTTTGAAGGCACCAATTCGCTGAAAATTCTCGCATTTGAAGAAGAATCGAAATTGTGGGCGAGCGGGGACTTGGCCTTCAAACTGCGTTCCGACCAAGGCTTCGGGCGATTGTGGTGTCGAGGCGATGGTGTCGAGTGTTTTGCATGTCAGCAGCGGCGTACGGTGCACATGAGGCTGGATGAGACCATACGCCGCTTGAATTGCGGATGGAGTGAGGGATTGAGCTGCCACAGCGGGTGAAGTCATTGTGTGAGTTAGCAAGGTTGAAGAGGAAAACGAGTATGACTCTTATTTTACCCCAGACTCTTCTCCGGAATTCGGCCCGGAGGCTATTACAGGTACAATTTCAAGCCAACTACAGAATGAACAACGAAACAAAATAAGATAAGAGTAACTGTGGAATGGCCAGTAAAGCCTCAAAATAATATTTTCGATCTGAAACCCAAAAACAGTTCATAGTACATCATCATTTTTTGAACCCCCACGGGTATCAAGGTATTATTTATTTCTGGTTCTCGGGACGGAGAGAGCGGACGGCCTTTCCGGCGCGCCAGATCTCGAGGTCGCGAATCTCCTGCATCTCCTTCTCGTACTTCTCGCGGTAATCGGGCTGCGAGTTGTAGTCGAGGGAGCGCTGGGTCTCAGTGCCGTTGTGAACGCTGTCGTAGAGGTCGTTGAAGACGGGCTTCAGGGTATCCTTGAAGCGGCTAGACCAGTCGAGAGCACCGCGACGGGCAGTGGTGGAGCAGGCAGCGTACATCCAGTCCATACCGTAACCACCGATCAGGGGGTACAGGGACTGGGTGGCCTCCTCAACGGTCTCGTTGAAGGCCTCGGAGGGGCTGTGACCACGCTCGCGAAGGACCTCGTACTGGGCGAGGAACATACCGTGAATACCGCCCATCAGGCAGCCACGCTCACCGTAGAGGTCAGAGTAGACCTCCTTCTCAAAGGTGGTCTCGTAAAGGTAACCGGAGCCAACAGCGACACCCATAGCGATGGCGCGCTCCTTGGCGTGACCGGTGACGTCTTGGTAGACAGCGATGGAGGAGTTGATGCCACGGCCCTCACGGAAGAGAGTGCGGACGGTACGGCCGGAACCCTTGGGGGCAACGAGGATGACATCAATGTCCTTGGGGACATCGACCTTGGTGAGGTCCTTGAAGACGGGGGAGAAACCGTGGGAGAAGTAGAGAGTCTTGCCCTTGGTAAGGAGGGGCTTGATAGTGGGCCAGGTCTCGGACTGAGCGGCATCGGAAAGCAGGTTCATAACAATGGTACCCTTCTCAATGGCGGTGGTCATATCGAACAGGTTCTTGCCGGGGACCCAGCCGTCCTCAATGGCCTCCTTCCATGACGCACCATCCTTGCGGACACCAACGATAACGTTGAGACCCTGGTCACGCAGGTTCAGACCCTGACCGTGACCCTGGGAGCCGTAGCCGATGAGGGCAAGGGTATCGTTCTTGAAGTACTCCTGGAGCTTCTCACGGGGCCAATCGGCACGCTCGTAGACATCCTCCTTGACACCGGCGAAGTCGATGGTCTTGATACCACGGACGGGGGTAACAACCGAGGAGACACGGGGGAGGGTAGCAGCAGCGATGGCAGGGCGAGGGAGAGCTGCGGTGATAACCGAGCGAGGAGCGGCCACGCGGGCGAGGCGGAGGGCACGGGGAACACCACGAGAAGCCATTGTGAAATGTGAAAGAGGGAGTGGAGAGTGAATGAGAAGAAGAAGATGGGGGAAGCTTGGGAATTTAAATAATGGGCAAATATGCTGGGTGATTCGAGTCACCGTAGCAATTCTCGGAGAGCAGACCTTACTCCCCGGAGACCCACACCGACACCGGCCAGTGTATTGATTGGAGGAAGGTAATTTATTATGTCATGAATTGCGTTTCCCAGTGCAACAAGCAAAGAGAATTCATTTTATGACTCCATCTCAAGTGGCTTTGGTAGGCCGATATTTTCCCCGGAGTAGGAGCAATCTCCGATATGCATACATATCAAAGAGCCCTGGAGAGGCTCTGAAGAGGGCCCAGACTGTTTTAGTGCTGTTCACGTGACGCACCTTCCCCTTGAGACTCGTTCCTTCCAAAAGTACCATTTCTGCCTTAGGCCAACGGATCTCCCTTCTACACCTCCCCCCCACGTCTGTCCAATTACTTTCCCACCATGTCTATAGGATGAGTGTCTTCTCATTAGGGGATTTGCCCACTATTCAGACCCGGAAGGCTTTGTTATTGCTTGACTTTCAAAATGACTTTGTCCGTCCCTTCGGCGCTTTACATATCCCGAATACACCAGATATACTCGAAATCCTCCCACAACTGGCATCTGCATTTCGTCGTGTCGGCGATGTAGTTTGGGTGCGCTCACAATATGAATCCCCTCAGACAATCATTGACTGGAACTTCGGTGATCGTATTGTCCTGGACAGACAGCCACCGCGCCGAAAGCAGATGCCCGCTTCGGATATAATTGAAGTCGGGTCGAATCGTGATTCGCCCAAACCTGTCGACCCAGAAGCCTTTCTCTCCGCCGACTCTTCGCCATGTTGCGACCCGCGTACCCCTGGATATCAGTTCCCCGCACCGATTTTAGCCGCGATCAACTCCCAGCATGACACGGTGGTGGACAAAACGGGATACTCCGCCTTAGAGTCTCCCGGCCTAGTACTATCCTTCAGAACACACTTTGTGACCGAATTGTACCTTTGTGGCTCATTGTCCAATGTTTCCGTGTTTGCGACGGCTCTGGATGCTGTCCGCAATGGGTTTTCGGTAACTCTTGTGGAGGATTGCTTGGGGTTCCGCGATTTTCAACGACACCAAGAAGCCATGCGGCGTATGGCGGATATCTTGGGAGCGACTGGTATCACCGCTCGGGAGCTCATTCAGGAGCTAGATTGGGATGAAACCGAGGCAATTGCCCGTCAAGGCGCACCACAGCCGAAGAGGTCAGCAACTACCGCGGGCCTCGAAAGCGTCATGGATGGCCTGGAATTCTGGAATACCACGGATACATCTCCCACAGACTCTCGTGCTCCGGAGCCGAGCCTTTCGGAACTCGTTACTCTTTCTCGCGCCCAGCGCGCTACTGCTGCGCAGGCGAGGGGTCCAGTAGAAGAGCAAAAGAAGGTCCGCGCGCGAATCCGCCGTCCAAAGCCCCGAGACGCTACACTAGCCGGGGGGACAAATCAACAATCTGCGGATTCTCAAATCAAGATTGGGGAGGGAGACTCACGTCTCGTGACTAATGTCGACCTGCCCGCAGACTCCTTTGAACGTATACAGGCGGAGGTAGACTGGCAGAAGATGTACCATCTGTCCGGTCAGGTTCCCCGATTGGTTGCAGTTCAGGGTGAGACTCGACCCGATGGAGCCATCCCCATATATCGTCATCCAGCAGACGAGTCTCCACCTTTCAAGCCATTCACCTCCGCGGTTGATGAAGTACGCATCGCCGTTGAGCAGATAATAGGTCACCCCTTGAATCATGTGCTCATTCAGCTTTATCGTGATGGACAGGATCGCATATCAGAGCACTCAGATAAGACGCTGGATATTATGCGAGAGTCTTTTATTTGCAACGTCAGTCTAGGCGCCGAACGCGTGATGGTACTTCGTACCAAGACCTCAGCATCCGAGCCCGAGGGAGACATGGGACCATGTCGGACAACGCAGCGTGTGCCGCTTCCTCACAATTCACTTTTTGTGCTGGGCCCGAAGACGAACATGCGATGGCTTCATGGCATCCGGGCAGACAAACGGCCTACTGCCATCAAATCCACCGACGAACAAGCCTACGGCGGCCAGCGCATTTCTCTTACTTTCCGTCACATTGGCACTTTTATCGATCCCGTGGCCAACACCATCTGGGGACAAGGGGCTGTCAGTAAGACATCAGATCAGGCCCACGCTGTCGTCCATGGGGATCCTGATGACACAGCACGCCTCATTAGTGCTTTTGGCCAGGAAAATCGGGCCACCAAATTCGATTGGGATACCGTGTACGGTGGGGGCTTTGACGTGGTCAACTTTGTGACTACATCAACAGGGAAACTATTACTTGGCTGTGATCCTCTGGCCAATATGCGTGTGCGTCTCTGTCTTGGAGAAAATGGCGTCCGGTACCGATTGACCAACGAGCATGAGCAGGGGCTCACACAACTCGCGGGGCATCCCATATATGAAACGCCTGATGGAACAACAGTTGCAGGCGACTCTGTTATCCTAATGCACATGGCCAACTTATCTCCCGAAATGTCACGGCCAGGCGTAGATTCATTACGCGGTGGCAGTTTCTTGTCAATAATTGACGAGTTTCTGATTCACTGGCGTCAGCACCGTGCTACTAATTCAGCTAGTAGGTTTGAATACGGGATTGAAGATTGGGAACGTACTCTACAGGGACAACACTACCTAGGAGGTTCTGTGTTTACCATCGACGATTGCTCTTTATGGCCTGTTCTGCGGGAAATTGTACAAACCCAAGGTGCATTCGATGTTCGGTTCACGAGCGTGAATCAATATTATCACCGAGTCGAGAATCGTGGCATCATTCGGTCTATTCTGGAAGAATGAGATTGGACTGATCCGCGACCACGAAAATAGCTCTTCTATCTTTCAGTCTGGTTTGTAATTAGGGCTGGACTGGACATATTACGAAATCTTACGAATTTACCTGGTCATGAGCCAACTTGGGTTGAAGCCGGGTCTACCATTCTTGGGATATAGTTGCCTAGCAAAACCACCGCTATGTCGCCCTCCAGGCTCAGTGATAGCCACAAAAATATTAGATTGCATTAGCCCGAATACTCCGCTGTTATCTAAAGACACGAACCAGGGAAAGAGGTAGTGCTGAGAGAACTCTTCAGTGCGACATTCCCACACACCACGGCTTTGAGGAAGGCCTGAGCGACTACCGATGCACCGGCGGTACTGGTGTGCGTGTGGTCCAAGGGGAAGTACGCATCGACAGCAGTCTGGCCCAACGTCTTGAACCGATCTGCGACATAGGCCCCATGGTCAACATAGGGCACACCGGCTGCTGCAGCTGCCACTTGTGCATAGCCCACAAATCGCGACGGGGCATAGGCGAAGGTTCCAGTTTCCCAAGGATTGTTTGGTGTTTGACTCGAGATGATCACATTGGCGCCCTTGGCCTTGAATACCTTGGTGGCATTCTCTACATATGCCGGGAATGTCAGCACCGTTTCGGCGACCCCGTTGTAGATTGTGCTACAAGTCTCGCTTCCTGTGCCGCCACAGTCGGTACGCCCATTATCGGTGGGGGTCAGAGAGCCACCATCATTGTGCCCGAACTCGATGATCACCCAATCCCCAGACTGAACCACTGCTGCAATGGCATCGAACCGACCCTCGCGTGTATATGACCGTGCACTGCGGCCAGCGACAGCTTGATTGGACACGGTGAGTGAGGTATATGGGATAACATATTCACCCCAACCTGGGAGAATTAGCTTGAGCGTTACGGTTGACGAGAACACATACCGGCTGTGCCAGATCCAGTCCCACCCTTTGCCATGGTCGAGTCCCCAGCAAGGTAGATGGTTGTACCTAGAACACTAGGAATGAGCGAAAGAAGAATCGTAGACTTCATGGCGAGAAGGACATGAAGTAAATCTTTAGTGCAAAGGCTTGGTGCCTATAGAAGCGGCAGCTTTAAACATATACGTTTTCAATCCTGGCTTGGATACGTGGAAAAAAGTACCACCCTTGACGGGGTATATCTGGCCATTATTGCGTAGCCCTCGAGGGTCGTCCGGAGAAAAGGAGATGCTGACATGCAGGGCGAGACAAAGCTGGAATGCGGAGGCCCCGATTATCGATGCTTTTGATTCATGGAAACTCGTCAGAGGAAAATATCCGAGGACACGGACCTGAAATCTTGCATAGGCTTTCAAAGGTCGGGGATTATTCTGGAACAGGTATTCAATATGCCGATGCTGACATTACATGCACGGTGGGATCATTGAAGCAGACTAGACGTTTTGACTATACAAACTATAGAAACCCGAAACCCCCAAATTGCATCGCTACAACTTCTCGAATGTTGGAATGCGTTTTTGCAACCCAGACAGTAGAGCTGCCGAGACATCCTGCGTCTGTAAAGCAGCGCTGTTCCATACACGCGTATAGCGCAGTCCATCTTGCACAGAGTGGTCACGCGAGTAGTTCAGTATCTCCTTGGTGCCTTGTACGGCTACAGGGCTCTTGCTGGCCATCAGGGAGGCGAGCTTCAATGCCGCCGCAATAGTATCTTCCCGGTTATCATACACCGCATTAACAAATCCCACGCGCAGGGCCTCCTCAGCACCGAACTCGCGCGCTGTCAGAGCCACCTCCTTTACCCACCCGTAGTTTCCAACCACCTTGGGGAGTCGGCTGAGAGTACCGATGTCGGCGGCAAGCCCAATATCGACTTCCTTGACCCCAAATCGGGTGTCCCGGGCACAGAGACGTACATCCGTAGCCGTTGAGAGGTCAATGCCGAGTCCCAAGGAGTACCCGTGCATAGCCACCACAACGGGCTTTTCGCAGCGCTCTACCGCGGTGATACAGTCTTGAAAGATGGCGATATGGCGACGAAGATCGACTGCCTTTCGGGCTGGGTCAGTCCTGGTATCCGACGAGAGAAGACCTTCCGAGGCCGCTTTGACATCCAGCCCGGTGGTAAATGCCTTCTCTCCAGCACCGCTGAGGACAATTGCGCGAACACGAGGATCAGAGGAGAGTTTATCGAAGATCTGGGCCATATTTTCCCACATACTAAATTTGATTCATTAGAGGAGGATAGTATCGAAAGGTCCGGGGAGGGCTCACGCTTCGATGAAGGCGTTCAACCTTTCCGGACGATTGATTTCCACATGGGCCACATATTGTTTATCGGCCGGGAGTTGCACGGTAAAATAATCAAAAGAGTAGTCAGTCATGTTGGGAGATGGATAGAGAGATGGAGAGGAAAGAGGGAGAGAGTACGGAGTATACGTAAAGAGGATGTACAACAGGGACCTCGGCACAAGCAAAACGTGGGGAGCATTTGAATGTCAACTCCGAATGCCGAGAATGTTCACTTATTTACTTGAAATGTAATTACTAGGACTATCTCTATTCTAAATCTCGTAGAAAATTATTATATTTTGTGAATCAACTTGGAATTTGCATGTGACAAGGTCCCTTTACTACATACATGTATTCCAAAAGAAATAGAAATTGAGCACTATACAGCATGACAAAGATGACCAAGAAAAAGCAAGTCCATGCAGTACAATTCTTATCTCGTGGCTGTGGATGTTTGTTGTTCACTCAATGGTGATCTTCTTGGAAGAGGCAGCGCTGACCTTGGGTACCTGGATGGCCAGGATACCGTTCTTCAGACTGGCCTTGACGTTGTGCTGGTCGACAGGGGTAGGGAAGGAGAAAACGCGCTGGAACTCGCCGACTGAGCGCTCGCTAGCCCAGAACCGGTGAGTGGGCTTGCCATCGTCGGATTTCTTCGCGCCCTCTTTGGCCTTGCCTTCTGGCTCGGAGGTTTGGTACTCGCGTTCAGTGTGACCCTTGACAACCAGAGTCTGGGGGTCGGAGAACTCAATGTCGATGTCCTTCTGAGAGATGCCAGGCAGTTCACCATCGAAATGGTATGCGTCTTCACTCTCACGGATGTCAAAGCGAGGAGAGAACGAAGTGACCGACTGGTTGCGGGAAGAGCGGTGGTCATCGTAGTCATCAAGAAGACGGAAGAGAGGGGCGAAGTCGCCGCCAGAGCCGGGGAAGTTGGCACGGAGAAGAGACATTTTGCAAGAGGATTGTAAGTGAAATGAGAATGTTTTGAAGATGTGATTGTACTTAAGCTAACACTCGAGGGGCCGATGGCTTTATAGCCATAACTGGAAACCACATGACACAAAGACAGTCCCTGCTTCCAGCTCGTGCTCCAGTGTAACTCTTGCCTCATGCAGTAAGGTGGTAATTGACTGATTACAGTAGATGTGTTTGCAAAATGCATGGCGTCATTGAGTGTAGTGATATGCTACACTATGTCTCTCCCATGGTTTATACCTGCCGGAAGAATGGTTTCTCCAGAGTCGTGCTTGTGCTTCGCCAACGTTCACACGTAACACGCTCTCTCGTTCAGTATTACTAGTCAGCACAACCCGAAGCTATAAAAGAAGTATGGCAAGTCTCCAGTAGCTGCACAGTCTCCAGTCTTCAACTATCTGGAAGAAGTTCCCTCACTACCACTGAGAGTTTCGCATCGCTAAGCGACCGAGTACTCATCGGCCAGACAGAGGGAGGGTGATTGGGATAGGCGATCGGACTGCATCCGAATTGTTGCAAATGCACAATGCGATAGTGTGTAACAAGAGATGGGGAAGGTCACATTGGGGACATTGTTGTCTGTGTGCGTCGTGGACATGCATATAGGGAAAAGTTGGATTTGCGTCACATGTGTAGGCCTTATGTTCAGTGTAGAGTAGCTGTTGATGACTTATTCGGATTCAGATTCATCGAGCTGCATGATCTTTTCGTCAAGGTCCTGGCAAATTTGTGAGCAATGGTCCTGAATCCCTAAGTTAGGGTAGATACCTGATCCAGGCGAATCTTGAGGTTCTGAAGTTGGCTCTCCTTGATGACCAGATGGTTCTCGTCATCCAGATCCTCCACTATGTAGTCATGTCGTTCTTCATCGTACTTGAGGATCATGGATTTGATTGAGGGATCGCATTCGATCAGTAGACCTGCCAAGGATGAGAAGATGTTAGCAAGAGATATGAAAGCGATATATATATGAATATATATAGATTTTTTGAAAAGATACCTCGGACGGCGCGTGGCATGTTGGAAAAGAGGATGTGTTTGGAAGAGAAGAGAGTGGTGGAGAGTAAGAGAGAGGAGGTTGAGGTGCCAAGACATTTGGACCCTTGACCATTTCACCTCTCTCTTTCAATCTCTTTCAACCTCTCAACCTTTTCTATTTTCGTATTGGAAGAATATCTAAATTTTACTTAAAACTGCAGCCACAATATCACTCTTGCTAATCACTCCAATCTTCCTTTTTCTTACTCGGTCTGGGGAACCAACCCCCAGGACAGCAGTCCCAATGTCTGATTGCTCATTGGTTTATATAGCTAACTACGAAAGCGATGACTCGGACGATATACAACACAGATGGTCTACTCCAGTCCAAAGATAGCCGGCCATTGGTGAGTGACCCTGGTCAACACTTTGGACAAATCCGCCATCTCCGTAGTAGGCTCGGGAACAGACCAGGTCTCATCTTGCCATCGCAACTCAAAATCTCGCATCTGTGCGTGTATTTCAGTGGCATTGTATGACACGGTCGGTGTTGACTTCAGGTACTCGATAAACATACGCCAGCGGGGCACATAGTATGAGGAGACGAGCCCACCCCATTGCTTCGAAGCGTAATCAGAGATCTCTCCATTTGGTCCCCAGAGAGTAATCTGATTACGCGCGTTATATTCCAAGAATGCAATCTCGGTCTTGTTACCGTGGGCCCAGGCCCGTGCCGAGTCAATCCACGTCGAAAGTCGGAAATTTCGATTGGTCAGAAGGATGGAGTCCAGATCTGTCAAGATTCGGAGGAGGTTCTCCCCCTGCTGCGCTAATGTGTGTGTCGAACGAGAGCTGTTGTAGGATTCAATGAGATCTAAGTACAACGGAATGAAAGCGTTGTCCATGACTTGACGAGTCACATCAACCATGTCATGCTGATAAGCCGGGTTAGACCATAATCTTGGCTCTTCTTTTGTTGCATGATACATCAACTGCCACGCCTGCACCAGTACAGATGGATCGTAGTTGACGGATGTGCCGTGTGTGCCGACAATATCGACCAAACTCCAAAGCTTGGGCTCAATATCCACAATGGACTTTGCCACAGCCAGAGTTGTCATGTTCGTGTTGTTATACACCGTCTGTCGCATCGAATTCCAGGCCAAGTAGAGCCCGTCCGGGATAAAATCCTGGCCGGAATAACGGCTTGTCACCCAATTGTGGAAATACTGCTGTGTATCCAATGGGGTCCGAGACCACGCCTGATCCAGAAGCAAGTCATACACTATCTCATTTCCCTCTTGGCCTTCCATGCTGAGACCATATCCGACCATGGATGGCGACTCGATCAGGGCTTCGGTAGCATTTTGGGTCAGGTTTTGAATCTGTCCGTACAGGCCCATGTTGCCTCCAAAGTTGTGCAACTGACACCAAATCCAAGGTTTTCCATAGTAACTATTTGTTCGACGCCACTCTGGAATAGACTCCGAGAAAAGATCCAAGATTAGCATATCCTCGTTCGAGTCTACGCCAGACAAATAGGCTTCCACTCTTTCATCTGTCCAAAAGTCGGAGTTGGCATAGAAAAGCCAACCTTGCATCATCCATATCGCATCAGGGTCCGCCAGTTTTAAGCTATGCCAGGTGCTGCGAGTGACATTGCGCAAATAATCCACATCACCCGAGTCAGGGTCGATCTCGTTGTACTGATCGAGAGTGTAGATGTGACTGACATCACCATAGAAATCTCGTTGTTTGCTTATGAAACTGACTTGAAGCTTTGCAAAGTTGTCGTCGAATGGCTCCAGAAAGGTGTCGTTGGTGTGTTGTATGGGGAAACCGCCCCATTGCGATCCACGAATTACCTTGGCATTTGGCAAAACACGAGTGATATTAGCAGGAACAAATCCAGTGAAGGATGGCAACACAGGGGTCATGCCCAATTCTACCATGCGTTGAATAATTTTTTTCTGCAGATCGAATTGTTGATTGATCCATGACTCAGGAAGATCACCGTGCCAGGAGCCTTGGATATTGCCAAACCGATTCCAGGCTTGAAAGGCTGGGCCACTGAAAAAAATGGGTAATCTCAGCATCAGTCAGGCCGATTTCACGAAAAACCTCAAGGAAAATCTTCTCCTGGCCAACCCAAGCAAGGGGTAGATTCACACCGCGTAGGGCCATCCAGTCGAGCTGTGACTCCCAATCCTCCCATGTCCAGAAGGCAGTGGTGTAGGAAAAGGTTACTGAGCCCAGTTAGTGAGCAAGCCTAAGCAGTATCTCGAATCAATATCATACCTGTGTTGAAATGATACCGCCAAGGGACTGTACTCGAGCCGTAGATTGCCCTCGATAGACGAGGTAGCTTAGATGGTGCGACATGCAGCCGACTGCCAATAAACCAGTAAATGTCAACATGGGCGACATCGGTGAGGTATCGATGTAGACTGCGGGAATGATCAGCCATATTATACATCAAAGACAATGATCGTGTTACCCCGAAGATAATGCGCTCAGGGAGTTCCCCTTGACTGAAATTGTTCCATTTCGACCATTGTTCACAACATAAGAATCATAGTCTCCAGCGAAATTAGTGTCCAAAATAAAATCCAAATCATGAACATGATCTGGCAATCGTCGTTTGACAAGGTTGAAGATGCCCTCGGTGGACTGGGCCACTGTTACTGCGGAGAGCCAAAGCAGCGACTTGATCCAACGCATCGTGGATTGCAGAAAATATAATTCCAACAGAGAGGCTCAACATGGAAGAATACGAGATTCATATATCGATATAAGACAACGGTTACATATGTCAGCTTTCCCCCACACTACCATGCAACTCTCCTGTACCACGTTGGTCTGAATTGCGTAGGGATGTGCAGTCATCTCACGCCAAGACAAGATGGTGCACATGTAGTAGATTCACAGGAGGCCGTACCCCTATCCTTCTATGAGTGTAGTATCTCGACCTAACGGAGATTCACACCCTGGAGCGGGGATTATCGTGTAGGCATTAAAAGACGTTCAAAGAAATAGTATCCTAATGGGAACTTTGGAGGATTTAAAGTATATACTTCTGCACAAACAATGGCAACGTCCAATTCATTTCTATCTGACTTCAAAAGGTAAGAAAGGATTGATCGTATGCACCTTTGTGTATATCTGTTAGGGCGTGGAGAGATGGTAATAACCTATCAGTCAGGTAAGAAAATCCTTTTGGCCTTTTAATGCTTTTGCTAAAATTTCCGGATACCATCGCTGTCCAACGTCCTGGTGACTGGTCACCCGGGCAATGAAGGTACCTTCACCAATGCTTCCATGGAATATCTTGTTAAAAGTGGCCTCTGCATCTGATTTGACCTTGTCATCTTTCACCAAGGCACGGATGTGAACCGGGATATCCAAAGAGATTTTTTCGGCAGAAAGATCGAGACTCACTCCCTGAAAAACAGGGAAGGAAAATCTAGGCCCCAAAGAGCCGGCATTGTCGTGAAAGTTCTCCGGCCGTAGGCTTACGCGGTGAGTTGTGGCTGTGCAGATTCCCCCAGTCAGAGCCTCCAAGGAGCGACCAATGTTGATAACCAATGTGCCTGGGAGTGGCGGTGCAGGAATCCATGTCCCAGCCTTATTTTGAACTTCCAGGCCATGGTGCGGCGTACCCTGCAAAAGGAATGTGAGGAATCCGGAGTCTTTATGAGGACCAACACCTTGGAATCCGGACTCGTTAGATTCAGGTGGGGGAGGATATTTGATCAACTTCAGCGTGTGTTGCTGGGGGGTATCGAAGATTTGATCGAATGCAGTTGACGGGAGGTCTAGAGCCTCTGCAATGAGCCCCGGAAACGACTCTGCTAGGCTGCTCACTTCCGACAGATATGCGTCGAATGAATCTCGAAATCCAGGGATTGCCCTCTCATCTGGCCACTGAGAGAATGGTTTTAGTCGCCGCAGAAATGAGGACGAAATATAAGATCGTACCTGGTTAGGGCCAACCACATTCCTATACAAAGGCTCATTTGGACCAGGGGCGGGGAGCTCGGTTGCGAACTGAGAAGGGTGTGAGTAGATATGCCGATTCAGAATAGATCATGAACTTGCATCAAATTGTTCGCGATAATCAGCTTTCAAAGCTGTAATTTCCGCACCAAGCCTTGAGTAGCCCAAAAAGTGCGGACTATTGACCATCTCGATCTCAAGCTTTTTCTCTAGTGGGAGCTCAAAAAGACCCAGGGCCTTCTCTATAAATTGGTCTTGCGTTTGAATTGAAATAGGGACATTTTGAAGATAAAAAAAGCCGACATTCACAAGGGCGTCGCGAAGGCTGGCTAGAAAGGTGGGCTTGGATGACGAGACCTGAGAGAAATCCAAGACAGGAATCGAGGTGAAGGATGAACACGACTTGGAAGATCAGTTTAATTCAAGCACATCGATGGAGTTTTCATACCATTTTTGATTGAAGTTTCCAAATGACGTTTCCAAGAGATTTCTGGGATTTCTCGGATTTGGTGAAGTTGAAAACAAAACTGAGACCCAGATGTGATTTGATTGGACTGCGATGGCGAATGTGAGGGTTCTCAGGTATAACCCCGCTATTCAAATTGCTCTACAACTGCCGTATATGTAGGTGAGTATATATGTAAATGTGTAAGTAGATATGGAGATATATGTTGTATATAGGACGATGAGAATCCAACAAACTTATTGGCATCTCACGATGAGTTCCAGATCAGAGAATGTACCGGACCCCAACTGCCCGGGCTTCTAGATCGGTTGCAGTGGAATGGATAACCCCTGTCTCATCCCGTCTTTGATTCATCTGAACATGGACAAAGCGAATAACTAGAGCTACCAAAGTCACTAAGAAAGTTATAGCAGCAGTTGCGCTTCCTCCGGAAATATATCGAGGTCCTGAAGAGGATGGCCACATATAACTGCCATAGATTGAAGCGGTATTTCCGACCATATTCGCAATAGCGATTGCTGCAGATCGTTTGACCAGCGGCCGGGGAAAGGGATTGGCGACCTAGGCGACGATAATTTGATACGCAGATACCGCTCCCATAGGCATCTTGATTACCGTCAGCCCCGCGAAGAACAATGGAATGATAGGTAACGTTCAAAAAAATGGCGAAGAATTCGGCACCAAAGTTTGTTGTCACAGTGGCAATGACACCTACCACACTGATTATCATCAAACAGATGATATGTAGGCTGCGGTTGTTGAGTTTACCAGATGTCCAGGTCACCAACAGCGAGACAAGGAAAGTAGCCATCCATACGGGCGCAGTTATTGGGAGCGTCTCGACTTTTCCGTATCCAAGTGTCTGTACAATAGTTGGGAAGAAGCATTGGAAATTCTGCGAGAAGAGCGAGACATGCTGCAGCAAAATAAAAAGATAGATGCGCTTGTCTGCAAATAATAGCCTTAGGGCTTCCTTGGTACTGGTCAAGCCGACTCCATCGGCTTCTCCTGCATCATGCATCAGACCTCACTGCGCATATGCTGGTTCCTGGTCATCTAACCAGGAAGTTGAAGTTGGATAGTTCGGAAGAAAGACCCTACAGAGAATCAGCCGGGGATTAGAAAGCAGGTGTCAACTATAGACAAGACCCACCCAGCGAGAATGGATGTCCCCACGGTGATAACGCCCTCGATGATGAAGAACCATCTCCATCCGGCGATGCCAAGAGCACCATCGAGGTTGCCCAGCACGCCTGCCCCGATAAGACCACCAAAAGCATTGGCCAATGAGCTACCAGAATAAAACCATGCAATGCGATGACTCAACTAAGCCGAGTAGGTAGGTCAGATAAGATCTTTTGTCACTGTGAAAGGGACCGCAGCATCACCTCTTGGCGGGTGTACCAACTCGACCTATAAGATTATATCAACATCTTCGTAGTCGCAGCCCTCTTGGCTGGAACTCACATTAGCATAACAGCACCTGGGAAAAAGGGTGCTTCGACAAATCCAAGAAAGAATCGTGTTGCAATGAGCCCAGAAAATGACTACATGGCTGCCTGGCAAGCGGAAATCACACCCCTATGGAACAAGTTAGAGGCACCATAAAGCTTGCTGGTCTCATTAGAATCAACTCGTACCAGATTGCCATTGGAGTACCCAGGAACAGTGAAGGCCGAACACGAGTTAGGAGCAGATTGGATGGAAGTTGCATCAATAGATAACCGACAAACAAGATACTCATAGCGAGATTGTAATCAGTGCCTTCCATACCGAGGTCTTCTTCAAGTGTACCAAGACGGGCCTGTGATAGGTTGCCAAGAAAAAACGCTATTAGGGCTCATGATGCTAGATATTTTTCGTGAACAGCGGCACCCACTTTCTATCCAGGAAATTTAACAGATACATGAGAATCAGAAACGGTAAAAGGTGCCAGTCCACCTTGCGAAGAAGCTATTTGGTCATATTTCGGTGCCATTCTGGACTTTTGGAAGCATAGACATGATAGAGAGCATCCTGTTCTAGGATAATGCTCTTGGCATATTTCACCTGTTTATCTGCTGGCTTGATCATAGTTTTTCTCTTCGTAAGGCCGGACTTTATCCACGAAAAATATAGCACTCCGTGGTGTTCGAAGCAGACCGGAGAAGGGTTTTCTTTTTAAAAAAGTTGGGTAGCGCATACTTTTGATTAGGCGGATCGGCGCAACTCCGGGATTTGACCAGGTACCCCAGGAATAAGGAAGCAGAAAGGCCCTTGGTTTGGAATTCGGGTCTCATTGGCTGTAAAATGGAGTTTTAACCCCGGAGAAGCAACTCAGCTCGGAGGGCTTTATCCCGAGTTCCCTATAGCCGAATATTCATTATCTTCATACCTCAAGAGGTCTTGATTTGGGCCATCTAGGCATTTAGGCGGTTATATACCATCTTCGTCTTCTTAAGGGTCTTGACTGAGATCTATTTCCAATAACAATAACATTTACCATTATGAGTGTCTGTAGACCCATATACCGCAAAACTCATAATACTAGATCTAATCCACACCGATCAAGCTTTGCGTCGCCTCGGCTTGAGGGGACTTCGACAGGCCTAAAACATTTGTCGAATAACTCATGATCGGAAATATTTCTACTCTAGAGCTGTGCCTGGTGCGTATCTTCTAGGCAGCCCTTCCTGTTCTGAGTGAGTACGATATGTATTCCAAGCTCAGAGAGAGAGAGCCATTCTTGTAATGCTCATGCTTATTCCTATATTCCCTGATCCTTGTCAGCCCTACGAGACGCTGAAAGCTTTGAATCTGTTTGTTAATAATGTGCTACTTTTCCTCCGCCTATGAGTACCATATCTAAATTATTATCACAATGTTTGGCCCTAATGTGAGTCTGATTCATCTCAATGTAACTAGTCTACACAGTGATGGCGAGGTAGCTACCAAAACATTTGACCATGCCCGTTCTTCGTCGTTCGTATCTCTAATTATGTTGAGGCAAGCAGCTCTGAATTTCAATTTCGTCACTGGCATCGGTTGCACCTAGTCTTCAGCTTTTATCTACACTAGATAGTAAGCTAGATGATTTCCCTCTCGAGGAGACCGATGGAACTGTAGAATGTCCGTCTTCGCACGAAATTGAGTTGTTCCCTAGCTACTGTAAAGCTCTGTTCATAGGAATGCCTTGGAATTAGACTTAAAAATAGGAAATTCGATGTTTACAGTAAAATTATTAGGTGTCAGTTGATGCCTGGGGCAAATATGATTTCATACTCGTTGACGTCATAACATACAATCTCACCGTTGGACTACGAACTAGATCCACCCTGGAGAGATCGAGTTCATCAATATGACTTCAGTTAGGAGTTTATTCACGAGAAAGGAATAAAGATTCATCAGAAATGAGTTTCGAGGGGGCAAACTCTTATTCAGGATGATCGAAGTTTGGCAATGACGATAGCATTCTATCCCAAAGCGAATCATGATTATCAGAAAGGCCAAGAATCATACAAAATGCGGAGTATATTGTAATAGATTCTTGATATCACAGACTCGAGTCCCTATAAGAAGGTGGTTCATCCAGCCTACCCATCAGTGCTTTGATAACTGTGATAACTGTGCTATTACTACTCTCTCACAATGGACAAGTTACACGAACTCGCTTCCAAGATCCCAGGCGGCAAGGGCCAAGAGATCGTTGACAAAGGTGAGTCAAGTGTGTTGTAAAGTTGTTGGGACTTCAAGCTAACAATACCAGGTATTGGTGCCGCGGAGAAGAAGCTCGGTGGTGGTGGTGACCCTGCAAAGAAGCTCACCAATGCAGGCCGTGAGCAGTTGGAGAAAACTGGGTAGGATTTTCTGAGCCTCAAAACAACCGAGGGTAGCGCTAATTTGATATACAGAAAGAGCATTCCTGATAAGTTCTCTCACTAAACACATGATGATTAGTTGTTCTACCTTTTGAAGGATCAATCGAGAGGCTTTTTCACTTCTATGAACTTTGAAAGACAAATAGTAATGAAAATAATACCGGAAATGACTTAAAAGAAGTGACCCATATCATATTGAATTCAAACAAAGCATATATCGAGGTAGAACAACCGTAGAGCACCGTCAATATCGCTGTAAGTTGGACAAGAATCCTCCTAGCCCCGACCCTAGGCCTCGGCGGGTATACATGGTGTTTGCCCGGCAGAGTTGAAGCTGAGTGTTGATACGTTCACTGGCTGCTGAGTCGGTCCCGCGCATATTCGCAACGAGGCGCTCGTAGTACTTCTGAGCGGGTTCGTATTCTTTAGCTCTGAAGTGTAGGTTGGCCAGCAGCTCCAATGTGGCCTGCGTTTCGGGGTTGCCTTTGCCTTTACGATGTTCGACCCAGTTCAAATATCGTATCAACCAGGGAAAAGCTTCCGCAGTACGATTATTGGTCATTAAGCCTGAAGCGTAGCCATTTTGCAAAGCATACATGACGCCGATGTTGCCCACGATATCCAAAGTTAACGGATGATCGTGCCCCAATGCTTCCTCTGCACTGGCCAGAGCCCGGCGTAGCGTCTCCGAGGCCTCCATACTCTGTTGCATAAAGCTTTGTGCTCGGCCGTGGAGACAGAGAGCACGAATGGTAGATGGATGTCCATGGCCCAAGGCGGTTCGAAGCTCTTGGTAGACTTGTGACAACATCTCCAAGGCCTGTTGTACATCGGGCTGAAAACGCATGACGATTAGGGTACTTGCGTCCCCGGATTGGTTGTTAAAGACATATTCTAACGCGTCCAATACGGAGCCAAACACACGAATGTGTGTGTCTCCAAGCAAGCGCTTTAGGCTTTCTGTCAGCTTTTCTGCAGTCATGACAGCATTTTCCCGGCGACCTAGCGCATTGTAGGTCATTCCTAGTCGGCGCCGTGTGTCACAGGTGTCCAAGTGGTCTTCGCCGATGGTCATTTGTTGACGGGCCAACACATTGGCGCAGACCGACTCAGCCTCTTGATACTTGCCCTGTTGGCACAAGACCTCTGCCGCCAAACTTTCCGTCTTCATTGTAAGAGGATGCTTTGTCCCAAAGACGCGTTGGGCATTCTCGGAAACCCAATGACACCATTCACTTGCCTTCTCCAAGTAGTTGGTCTCTAGTTCCACTTCAGCTAGATTGTATGCCACTGACAATGTACTAAAATGATCCGGACCAAGGCTACGCAAATGCTCCTGGAAAATCTCATATTCGACGGTTCGAGCTTCGTCCCACCGAGCCCGATTCTTGAGTTCGGCGGAGCGAATAGATCGCGGGTCATTATCAAGAGCATTGAAAATTACTCCTGTCACCCTTTGCGCTGGAGCAGATGGGCGCCCCTGTCCGTGGTATGGCATGCTACTGTTCGAATGAATGCGCGGTGGCACTGGCGGTGGAGATGAAGCGGCACTTGGAGGCATCGACGGAGGAACGAAGCCTTGCTCTGACAAAAGCGCCTGATCGACCAGTTGCTTGATGTTACCTTTGATCAAACGATACATAGGACCCCGAGCGCCCACTTTGCACATCTGGGAATGATCCGCGTCGAGCTTCAGTTGTGTTTCGCGTAAACCGGACAATCCAAGAACCGCAGACTCCTCATCAACCACAAGCTGATCGAGGTTAGCTTGGAATCAGTGTGAATACTAGATCCGCTTACATGGCTGATGGATGCTGGTCCAGCACCTCCTATCTGTACCTCCTTCCCTTCAATAAAGCTAATAACACGATAATCCTCTAATTGATGTCGGAACCGATCTGTCATTTGTCGGGTGAACAGCGAGTTGTATTCCAGGCAGTCTAGAAGGTCATTACTGGCGTGGCCTTTAGAGACGAAGCGGGCAACCCGGGCTGCGATTTTCCCCAATTCCACAGCCTTTGCGCCACGATGAGGTGTCCCAAAAAAGACGAGACCAGAAGTAGCGGAACGAATGGAAGTGTATTTTGGATCTTCTTTTGCATTGAGAAGTGCCTATCATCAATTAAACCTGTTAGACAAGCCCGTCGAGAAGGAAAAAAAGAGGAATATGCCTGACCTGTTTGATCACCAATCCCCCTAAGCTATGTCCGATAAATATGACTTTCGGAGGAACAGAGCCCTATGCAAGTTCAGTTAAACATCCAGTCAAACCTGGGACTATCCATACCACATGGGGGCCGCGCTCCATATCCAATAAATTCAATAGAGTATTCGCGTGGTCCTTGATGCTTGCTGTTGACATGGTCTGCGGATGAGTAATATTTGAATTGTATCCGTAGACAAAGACGCGCGCATATGGAATGTCTTCGGCTAGGAAGTCTCTCGGCCAAAACTTGCCATTGCTATGCGTCCATGTCTGGAAAGGATGATCGTTTCGACCACTTGGGTTGAGGCCATGAACAAAGACAAAACTGAGCAAACCTTAGAATCATTCTTTAGGCGGATCGGTGTTTACATACTCGACCTTGTGCGATTCCAAAGGAGTGAAGACCTCCTGTAAAAAGGGAAACTCATACTCCCCCGTATCCTAATCTTTCTTTAGAGTGTGATGCCATATATAGGTCAAACCCAACTCTTACCATACTGAATGCTCAAGCGCAACTTGGAAGAGATACTTCAAAGAGTCAAGAAATCGGCCGTTGAGTCCATCCAAGATCCGAAGAAAGAGAAAAAGAGAGTGGGATGAAAGCAAACACGAGGCTGACGGGCTGAGCATACTCCTCGCTTGGCGTGCAATTGGATACATTTGGAGGTAATCAAGGAAATGACATGCAATGGAACCAATCAAAGAATCCGATCGAGTTCGGCAAAAAATGCCTGATATAGGTTCGTATGTGGCCTTGCCTCTATTGGCCGTGATATCAGACGTAGTCAGCGGGGTTATCCGGCGCGATGCATCACACCCGATTACACGCATGGTATTGGTTGGTATTGGTAGAGCGTTCTAAGGCTTGCTAATGCCAGAACCAATTTCCTTTTCACGCCCGATGATCTTCGTCTCGCTCTGCCCCCTTCGATGCCAAGTTTTGTAAGCAGGGAGCATAAAACAGGGTTCCACGCCATGCTCCGTTTGCAGTTCGCGATGCCACTAACATCCACAATAGAAAAACGGCGCCACTGAAGGCCTTTAGACGTGGTCAAGTTAGTATCCCTTTCGAGAAAATAAAACGAAAAAACATGGTAGACATACGGTACCGAGAACTTTGAAGAACATGATATCCATTTCAATACCCAATTGCGTCGTGTTTGCGGCGTAAACCCCAAGCGGGAATGTAAATCCCCACCATCCCATATTAAACGGAAATGGAGAGCGGTATAGAATGGTAGCTAGAGCAAACACGAGCCAAATCAAGCCGAAGCTCCACATGAGCAGGGATATGAAGACGCCCAAGACGTATGCCATCTGGCCCGCGATAGGGTCCAGGAACTCCGAATCCTGCAATAACATGCGTGCTACTTTGCCGATGTAAAGAATGCTGTCGGCGTATCAGCGAGAGCCTCAGGGGAAATCAGCAATACGCTTACCCGAACCCACCAAAGCCAAGAGGCCCAAGTGGTAGAAAGCAGCTCACAACTAATTCTCTCGGTGGAAGCTTATAGACCGCTAGTCGCTGATAATAAATTACCAATATCGTGATTGCCAGCGGAGTGCCCATACCCCAGAGAATGAACGAGGCGAGGAGTGTTCCCAGCGCATGTTGTTTGTCTGGTAAGATCATAGCAACCTCTGCGCCAGCACCCGCTGCTACAATAGTTGCTGCGATCGGCAATAATTGAACCGCAGTGATCCGATCTAGGGAGGTGATATAACGCTGGGATATCCTATTTGGACCATCAGTAAACCAAATATCGGTCTGGGAAGGACTGCAGACTGACAAGATGAAAGACAAAGAAAGAGTCACAGAAGCCGCAGCTACCACGTCTATCATCCATAAAACCCACACAACCGTTGTGGCCCATTCTCCCCAGCGTGGCACGCAGACGAAAACCCACATCTCGATGAGAGTTGCAAAGCCCATTGGAATTGTCGCTAAAAACAGCGAATTCGTCGGATCTTGGATCATCACGCTCCATATTTCAGGGTATAAGGCGTATCGGAGGACAGATGTAACCGAAGCCGAAGTAAATAACACGGTATTGAGAAGGAAGAAGACAATGGACAAGTAATAGAGCACCAGGGCATCAAAAGGGATCGTTATCATCAACACTGAAACAATGCCAGTGCCCATAGTTATTGCGAACCATCTGTAAATTTTTATCAGCACACGTCGGTGGTCTATGGAGGAAAAACCATACGATGGACTGAAATTTCGCACGATGCGTCGCCATCCTACGTGATATTTCACCGGATCCTTTGCACGCATCTCATTTAATTTTGCCATGAGAAATCAAATTCACTGAATGTTGAGAATCATCTAGAGTAGAAAAGGGGATTTTATAGATTGACGGCTGACCAGTCGGCCGAGTGCGTGTTATATCATCTTCATAGATAGTCATATTATTCAGTCTCCAAAATGAGTCTAGAACCATACGCTATCCCACATCAATTTTCTAATAGTTGATAATGGTCTAATGCATACCAAATACAAAACAAAAAGAAAACGAGACAGAAAGTGCGCGTTCACACTCAGATCAACCCGGGAGTAGAATAGAGCATTTTATCCGTGTCTCCAGGGACGAAGCTAGTTAAATTGAATGATAAGAAAGACCCTAACACGTTTGTTGGATGTGACTAAATGTCAGTTCAAACCACCGGCCATCCACTCGAGAAGTTGATCTGATTCCATCCAAAGAGTTTCTGGCTATCGGAATAGCCCACAGTGGTGTCAACGTAGTGGTAGTACAACACTGGGCCAAGGCCGGGATCAGTATACACGCCCCTGAGAGATGTGAGCAACCTTAGAATATTCAAGAATATGATCTAAATTGAGAACTTACTGTCCACCAGGACCATAGACTGTGCCGTGGCTTTCTAGAACAACTGTGCCACCTCCGCTGGTACAGGCGGTACCCGTTTTATCGACCTTTGACAGATAGTTAGCGCAAGTGTCCAAAGCAGCCAGAATATAGGATCACATACAAACCCGCTAGTAGGTGAGGTCGATCGGCAGACCTTGATCTTATATTCCGCTCCGCTGGCGGGACGGGATGCGTCGTAGCCGCAACAGATGCCGGCAGAGAAAAAGAGATAGTAGTAGCTTCCATATTGATACATGTAGGCCCCTTCCACAGCATGTGTTCCAGAGGAGTCATAGACCAGATTGTAGGACGAAGATGCAACTTTAGTAGCATCCGAATTCATTGGAGCCTGGTATATATCGTGCCAAAAGGAGCCAAAATTCATGTAGTAGGTGTCCCCAGTTTTTAACAAATTCCCGTCAATGGCATTGTACGCGCTAGTAGATGACGAGGCAATACCGGTTCTTCCATGGTCAGTCCAAGAGCCGGACTCCATAGTTGCAGATGTAGCTAGTCCAAGAGCCGAATTCTGTGAACCAAACGTTGATACAGAGTAATAAACATGGTAAAGTCCATTGATGAAATGAACATCGGGGGCCTAAAATAGAATTCAGTATCGAGTATATTCATTGCTTAGGAATGGGGAACCTTGAGGATCTTGCTTACCCAAAGGTCATCCTTGCCTGCAATATCAATAGATGATCCGCTGGGCAACATGGATCCAATGGTAGTCCACGGGCCTTTGATAGATGAAGCACTAGCATAAGAAATCTTGTTGCCCGTAGAAAATCGGAAATAACGATTGTCCGAGGATCTTTGTATCAACGTCGGGTCATGCACTATACAAGCCCCTGAACAACTGCCAGGGTTTGCATATCCATGCACGAAGCCTCCGAACAGTACCAGTCTGAAGATCTTACCAAAATACATCGAGGGAGATGATTTGTAAATTTAAGAAAGAGCAATCTATCTTCATCAGGAGATCGCCGTAGTTATTTGTATATATTATCTGGCGAGGCGATGCATGGATTATTGGTGGAAATGCGGACTTTTTCCTGATTGAGTACGGACAGTCTTGTCTGGCAAGTAGAGTCGAAGACGACAAGAGAGGGGCAAAGTTCTGACGGCAAAGGCCTAAAAATTCTTCAGGGAATGAACTAGTGAGAATTAGAGGACCGACTGGTGGGAATTATCAAGAGCTATAAGCGCCACCATGTAAAACACGCCGAGTTCCGTGGAATGCCAAGTACAATAATCCGTTGAATCCTTCGTCGGGAAAAGGTGTAAATGTTCGAGGATCTCTTATCGAAGCGATATTTTTAAACCGATTCACAGTCGTTTTTAGTTTCTGTTTGAATGGTAAATGTTCACAACAAACCAGCCATGACTCGTGTCAACGCCTCATCCTCGGCATGAAAGGCATCCAGCGCATTGGGCGGTCGTGTATCACCTGGAGGGGCTAACCCCACATTTGCTCCGGTGGCACTGTCCGAGCCGGAAGGGTCAAAATAGAATCCACCGGCGATCTCGAAGAAGCTGCTCAAGTCTTCGCAGACATTGGATTCATGACCAGCTACTGTCCCGGGTGACATTGGCCAGAAAGCATGAGACGACAGCTGAGGAGTTGTCGTCCCAGGTGTCGGATGAAGACTGGGGGTACAATGTGCCGCTGCAGACTCTGTTGTGGTTGATATCGGTGTTGTGTCCCATATACCGTGGGATGAGCACAGCCTAGATCTTGCAGGTGAATGGAGCTCAGATTTCTCTTTCTCCTGCGTATGCTTGAGGGGATGGCCTCGATAAACAGATGATTGTCGGCCAGCTTCACTATCCCAATTGATATTCAAACGGATCCGTTTCAGACTGTGAAGAATTTTTTGCAGTCTCCGAGAAGTGCGGGCACGGGTTGCTGACCGGCGGACCATGTCCACGGCTGTATAAAATTCGGGTCGGCAAGCATGGCTGAAACGAGCCGGGGCATGTAGGACGGCCAAGAAGAGGGCAGCAAGAGCAGACAAGAGAAAATAGTTGAATGGCTCTGGGCGCTGGAAGTATATACTTGAGACCCGGCTGAAATAGTCCAGCATATGAACGGTGCTCTTCGCCGTTTCCACCGCGGTCGATGCCCCGGTCACATTGTCCGCTATCCGCTCATCACTGAGCAGGTTTTGTCGATACACAAGAATTCGAAGCTGGTTTGCCTGTAGAGCAAGAAGAACCTGAAGCATCCTCGCTCGATCGGTGTGCTCTGATCCAGCGGGAGAGCGCCAGGTTGGATCAAAACGCAATTCACGTGGAATAGAATGGATCCACTGCTGGACCTGAGCGTCCAAATAAGCACACCCATCTGAGGTGGCCGCTTGTGACCGATTGGGCCATCCGACGACCAGGCCCCAGATCTTTGTGCTCAGACGCGCGTGAGAGATCATACAAGTCAGGTATGGAGTAGAGTGGCCCGGCTCAGGTAGGTTGGTGTCAATATCGGAGTCTTGAATGGCGAAAGGTAAGCCCGTGCCAAAGGCGCACTTGCGATCTAACACATAGATGCACCAGAACAATCGGCTTGCCCACGTCCATTCCAATTCGCCCGGGAAAACGCCCCCTGTCTTTTGCCATGTTTCTTGGCGATGAAGACCTAGCTCCGTACTCCCTCGGACTGCCATGCCAATCAAGCGCCCGGCGATGACTTCGTCATCGCGGTAAGAGTGAAATATCGACTACCCTCAGTTAGTAGGAAACACGGTATAGAATTTAGATACACACCAACAAAGTTAGAATGAGAATTTCTTTCATATCAACCTCGGCAATTTTTAGTCGGCTAGCGAAGCGATCCTCCACACTGTCGGCCAACTGGGCTGCACGCTCACTGCGACCGTGTGACTCGACTAGTAAAGCGGTCGCCAGCAGAATTTTCAGAACCTGAACATCGCGCGCAGAGAACCAATCTTGATCTGAGGATTTCTGTGCCATCAACACCGATGAAGATGCAATGGCTGAATCACGAGAGCAGTAGAACTCGAGGACATATGCTCGCACTCCATCCAAGTCGACACAAGGGTACATCACACCGACTGTGTCCTCATAGACTTGCACTAATCGCAAGGTTTCTTCTAAGCCCAGGCTTCTCAACGGATGCCCAAGGTGAGCATCCCCACCCCCTCCGACGGCGCAGGACTGGGGGCAGTTGTTGATAGACCAAGGTCCTCGCCACAATCGTCGATGCTCGCAGTTTGCGATAAGGAGCTTCCTGGTCGAGTGAGCCCAAACTCCGCACTCGTGGGTCCGACATACGTCGGCGACTTAGGAGCGTCTAGAATACGGTGCAGACTCCCTGTGGGTGGGGATGGGCCGGAAGATTCAAGCTCATGAACGCGGGCGGAAAGGGTCCGCATTTCCCGCCGTAGTGTCTCCAATTGCCTATCCACAGCTTGGAATCGGACATTTTCTCTGGGATCCAGTCAGTAAAGGCAGGTCAAGGATGACTTCGGAAAAGCAGACATACCTTTCATTCTTGAGATCAGTCTCTTGGATCTTACCAGAAGGGCGACCGGTATAGATGCAAGGGACCTGATCACGAGAACATCTCCCACAGACCAAGCCACCACTGCATTTTAGTTTGCGTCGTTTGCATTCATTGCTAAGGTGATCAGTATTAGTATTTGAATCAGAAATAATAGACTCACCAAGCAACTTGGGTATATTTAGCCCTTTTTCGAGAATCTCGTGGCGATTCGGAACTCATATCGGGGAGTTGGAAAGGGAAAGCTCGGAACGCGGAAAGATAAGCCGAGAGACCCCATGGAAGTAAGGCGTACTGTATTTATTATATATCAAATCTCAACAGTCTTACTGATACTCTTGAGTTCTTTTTAGCACCTAGCACCTAGATCTACATAGGAAAAGAAGCACAATTCCAGTCTTCCAGAAAGGGAACATTGGCATCCGTTGTTTTTGAAATATATATCTCCATAATATGCCGCTATAATACAATGCTGCTCGTTTACCAATTAAATGTGCGACTTCCGGCAACATTCCGAGTCTGCTAACCGTGAGGATACGTTCTTGTTCGAAGGCACATCTAGTGATGGGTTGGCTACAAAAAAGTCCGCGGGCCGGATCATGAGTTGGAAAATCTCGACGGGCCTGTGATGAGTTAGTACGATGCAAAAAAAAAAAAAAAAAAAAAAAAAGCACCGAGGAAAAAAAACGACAGCAAAACATACATCACGGGCCAATCCTCCACACGGGGATTGTGGGTAATCCCAAAGGAGTTCCAAACCACTACGTCGGTGTCAACAACAGAATCACCCCGAAGAACAGCGTCCGAGACACCTTCAACTTCAGTTTGACTCTGCAAAGTATAACGACCTCCAGCATAAAGTTCCCCGTCGCGATACTTTGTGACCCAGACGTGGTGCTGAGCAAACTGGGCTCGACGTGCCTGGACCGATGCAGGATCGGCCAGTAGAGTCTGAGTGGCCAGCGGAATGAATTTATACCCCACAGGGTTTCCACTGATAGGATTCTTTATGTGGGGATTGATCATCTTGATTGTCCGGTTGAGCTGCGGAGCGGCATCGATCCAAGACGCACGCTCTACGGTCTGCTTGGTGATCTGATAGAAGTTTCCGTTGGGATTGGTCACCGCATTCATTGGAACTGGGTGAGATTCCTCCACCACGACGGAGTTGTTGGGACCGTCGATGGCTGGATCAATTCGTACATTGAAAATGTGCTGGTGATTTTGAGCGAGAACACCACCACTCACCACATTTCCGTACTCACTGACCTTACCAGCATCGATATTGACCACGTTCAAGATACCGGTTGCGCGTGCTTCAACAGTAATTCCACCTGATTGGTCGAATTTATAAGCAAAGATGTACTCATAGTTGGCCAATGTGATGATAAATTGGACAACAAGCTCCCGGTTCCGCGTGACGACTGCGCGGCCAGTGCGCCAGTTGGAATGCTTCCAGCCAATTCCGTTGTCCTGCTCATGGAGACAAATCGCGTTTGGAAGGGTTTGGGCGGTACCATCTGCTTGTGTGATAATGGCATCAAAATATTTAATCACACCAAGACAGTCGCACCCAAGGGACAGGTTGTTAGCCATGTTCCCGCCGCCTCCATCGCCGAAATCAAAGGCCTGTTTCCGGTGGAAAGGGGGTCGGGGGTCGGCATAGGGAACAGTCTAAGCGATGTAATCAGTTGATGGCTTGGGGCTTCGGGGATACTTCTAGGGCATACCATTTCGCTGACTGCCAGTCGGTGCATCACGCTACGACCATCATACGAGACGTCATGAATCGTCGCGCCTTCTCGTGGATTAAATGCAACACGGAACCGCCACTTCTGCCATTCCACGAGAGATTCGTTGGTAACTCGGAAGGACGGACCCTCTGGTTGGACCACGTTCAGTGGTTTGAGATCCTTGCGAGTCCCCTCGGGCATCAGCTCCGGCACGTATTCGGAGGGTTTGCAGTGACCAATGATATCCCGCTTGAAGGTCTGTTCAAGTAGACCATCACCTTTACCACCAGTGGCGGGTCGGTCTACCCGGATGATCTCTTGGGTGTGGGCGTCCATCACGGGGATGATGGGCAAGGGGAAAGAATAGAAATTGGAATCTTCATTCCCAGATCGTTTGTCCTGAGCGAAACAAAGGCCTTGGAAAAAACGACGATTTTCATCGGTGTGATCCAACCCACCATACGGCCAAGGTTCAATGACGACCTCGAAACCTTCCGGGAGGTCGAATTCCGACAGTGCTTTCTGGAACAACGGTGATTTCATACATTGATCAACCAGCACATCAAATTCACTCCTACTCCATCATTAGTACGAGGTAAATTCCCAGAGGTTCAAGCTTTCTTTCTTCCTTACAGAGTCAGACTGGCATGATGCTCCTTCCCCACCACTGTGTGCTTCACTCGTGACTTTGAAACCACATCGATCACAGATTCATGGAACTGAGGAATGCGATCCGCTCCGATCACATCGTATTGACACAAAGCGAGACGTGGGGGTCGCGGAGTAGTTGGGCTCAAGCGACCGGCATGTTCGATCGCCAGAAATTCCAGGAGCTGAGCTTTGGGTGGTTCTTGTAGGAAGATCTCTCGAAAGTCGATTACGACGTTTGGGTGAACAGATTTGACCACATCGCGGGCCAAATTGGTTTCTTCGATGGAGAGAATACTGAGTGGATGAGACATGACTGGACAACGATGGTTGTGTATTGGAGGGCTGGAAGGTCCAGTTTATATTATATCGGAATCTCGGAATTCTCGGAATGATTGTCGGGAGGTTTCCTGGTACCTCCGGAAATGGTTCCGTGCTGATAGACCGCGATGGACATCGAATCCACCAAAAATCCCCCAAAAACCCACCAAAGTCCACTAAAATCCACCAAAAATGCGGGGAAAATTACAGACTAAACAATATTGATGAGAGATAGGCAATACGAGATTGCTGTTCCTTGTCTTATACAACATGTATTGACATATGTGGTTGATAGGCTGTGCGGATCATCGCCGTGTACGAGTATTGACTTTATGACCATATCCCGTTATTTTTCTCCCTAATGACCTGCTGAGAGGTACATATAGAGGCCGGAAGGATGGCATATCTTTCCCGACCCCGTGAGGTTGTACCAAAAGATTTCTATTTTCTATCATCTGCATTCCCCGAGTAGTGTGAGGTATGGATTCTATGTTAGACCATGAAACCAAAGTGCCTGTTCCCGAGAAACACATCAGCGATGAAGATCAACTTGCAGCTCTTGGTCATGTCCAAGAGCTCCGTCGTGGTTTCTCCTTATGGTCAATTGTTTGTCTCCAAATATCCTTAATGGCCACCTGGGAGGCCTTATCCTCGGTTGTCGCTGCTGCTCTTACCAACGGCGGGGCGCCATGCTTGTTTTATAACTAGTGAGTCGCTCTCAACGGTACTATTATACTGCAAGGCTAATGGTGCGGCCAACTTAGTGTCATAACCCTGATTGGTACAATGTTCATAGTCCTTTCATTGAGCGAAATTGCCTCGATCTACCCGACTGCTGGCGGTAAGACCAACCTTCAGCTTACCCAGATGAGGCCCCATGCTGACTCTATCAGGACAATACCACTGGGTCTATTGTCTCACACCAGTATCGTATCGGGTTACTGCATCCTGGTTTACCGGTTGGATTTCGATTGGTGGACAGTTGGTGTTTTCCGCCTCGGCAGCCTTCGCAGCGGGCTTGCAACTCCAGGCACTCATCACCTTGAATAATCTCGATTCATATACCCCAACCAGATGGCAAGGAATGCTTTTCTATTGGCTAATACTGGCTTACTCGACCGTCCTGAATATTTGGGGTTCCAAAGTCTTGCCTCACACCAATACAACAGCCGGTAAGAGAACAATTTCCTAGATACCTAAGGAGACTGGATTCTGAACCACATACAGGTGTATTGCACGTTGTTGGGTTTTTGGTAATCATCGTCGTGATGGGAGCAATGTCCGAGAAGCACGACTCGAGTTACGTGTTCACGGAATTCTCCAACACCAGTGGATGGGACAATGATGGGGTTTCGTGGTTAGTAGGACTACTGAGCACTGTATATCCCTTCCTTGGGTATGATTGTCCTATGAACTTGCAGTGCTTTGAAGGCTGATCGTTAATTCCAGATATGATGCAGCCTGTCATCTAAGTGAAGAAATGCCAAAGCCATCCCGCAATGTTCCATTGGCCATGATAGGCAGTGTCATTATCAACGGCGTGATTGGGCTGGTGTATGCAATCATCCTACTATTTTCCCTCGGAGATCTAGAATCACTTCTTCAGTCCAAAACGGGGTTTCCATTCATGCAGCTGTTTTTAAACATTACTGGCTCCCAGGCTGGTGCATCCGTGCTAGCCCTATGCATCACCCTGATTGCGATGGCCGCCAACGCAGCATGTGTGACATCTACTAGCCGTACAGCTTGGGCATTTGCACGGGACAATGGTTTACCACGGTCGGAATTTTTCTCAGAAGTGAGCACTACACTGAAAGTTCCCGTGCGCATGGTTATAACGGTTGGATTACTTCAAATGCTGCTTGGCTTGATCTATCTCGGCAGCTCAACCGCATTCAACGCGGTGTTATCTATGGCCATTTTGGGAATGTATGCCTCATATCTTTCCCCGATTGTATTTATGTTGATCTATGGCCGACGAAGATCAGCACCGATTGTTCGTGGACTTGGCTCCGGATTGTTCAAGCTAGGGCCACGATTGGGTCCCATTGTGAACCTTGCTGCCATTATTTGGCTCATTATAGCAATGATTTTTAGTACTTTCCCAACGGTGCAGCCGGTTACACCAGAGAATATGAATTATTGCATTGTGGTGACAATGGGATGGATGCTGATAGGAGGGCTTTACTATTATCTCCTAGGAGGAAGGAAGCAATTTACAGGTCCAGTGGTCGAGCTGGCAGAGGACATGTGACTACTTACTGAGGCTGGTAGTGATGAGGTTGGGGTTTACACGACATTGACCCGAACCCCGAGTCTGTGCCTGTGCCAGTGGAAGTTCACTACACGAACGTAAATACACGAGGTCATGATATGCTATTTGGAAGGTGCGCAATTTCACTTTGGTTAGAAGCCTTGTAGTTAAAGACTAAGGGAAGAAAGAGAAAGAAGAATTATTCTAATTCAATCTATACAGAAAGAATGGTATTCGTACTCCTACTGTCTAGTAAAAAATGGGAAATAATATCATCTAATAGGAAGCACAAATGCAAGTACATATCAATGCTTTGGGATATGTTCACACCAGTACGGGCGATTATTGGACCAGCGATACATAACCCTCTTATTGGTTAATATTGCCAGGCAGTATTCAGGTCCATTTTCATATCACAAGAACTCGTTATGTATTTATTAAATTGAAGGGTATCGAATTGAAGCATATCAACTTGAAGCGTATCAACTTGGGCTTAGGGCTTAGGGCTTAGGGCTTAGGGCTTAGGGCTTAGGGCTTAGGGCTTAGGG